GCTGAGTTTATCAGGCAGCTTAGTGCATGCTGGGTAATGATTCTTGGGATTCTACAGAGACTGCTTGCAGAGCAGAATGAACTTCACAAAGGCACTTGTTCTTTAATAATGAGATTTAAGGTGTAGTTCTGTGTTTCCAAAATAAAATAACAGCAAAATCTAGTCTACAGACTTGTGTGATATTTGCTTTTGCTAACTGGCCATGGCACCAGTAGCACAGCAGTGTATGCAACCTGAGCAGTGGAACCTAAGGGGACTAAGTGGCTCACAAGTCAGAATTTCCAGTCTGCAAAAAATTGTGCATTTCCATTATATTTTTCCTTTTTGATCAGTGTGTGGCTGTGCCTTTTGGACAAGAGTAGGCATATCTCCCTCAGTGCAAAGTGGACATACTGTGGGAGTATGAAAAGAATTTATGGGCACGCTGCTGAGGAGGCTTGAGCAAGGAAGTACTGTGCAGCTTACTTGCTCACTAGGATGTCTTCAGCAAATATGGCCCTGAATGTCTGTGCAATTACCCAATACAACATACCTTATAGAATTGCCCTGGAATGGATTACAACAGCTGTGCCTGCACCTATGCTCAGCTGGAGTCTCTTTCTGCGTGAGCATGTCTGTGCATTTTAAGATATACAGCAGGATCAGCTGAACGCCTCCTTTTCCCCCAAGTCCATTAACTCAGATGATGTGCTAATTAGGTCACTGAGAAAATCAAAGATACAGAAACTGGGTTGAGTGTTCACGAACCTGCATGTAACTGCAGTATTTTAGTTTAATTTGTCTTAAGCAGTTTTTTGATATATCTGATAGTGTTACCCATAAAAAGGCAGGCTGCGTGTCAGGCAAACAAGTCATAGAACACTTGAGTATTTTGAGCTGCTTGGGTGAAGCATTTGGTATTTCTCATATAAAAAAAGAGAATGTGACTTCTCTCTCAGTTAACAGCTCCTCTGTTTATGCCTTCGTGATCAGAGAATAGCAGAAGTATCCTGCAGGAACCCTTTTGAAGAGAGGACAACACACTGCAATGATCCACTGTGCTAACCTTGTGCTGCAGAATGATCCTTGCTCTTAGCCCATAAAAATCTGGTGCGTTAGAAGAGAACAGACTTGATGAAGGTGGAGAGGAGTGACTGCAGAGCCCATCCATTTGTTTTCTGCCTAAATAAAAGTGTTCAGTTGACCTCAGAAGTAGCAGATCAACCTGACACGCAAATGTATTTAATCTATAAGATTATTTCATCTATAAGAGAATATGCTATATATGTGCACAGGTAGGACTGAGCGCATCTGCGTTCAGCTACAATTTGAGAGAGAGATAATGGACTGTAGGAGCACTTCAGGGCATTGCTACTTGGCAGGAACACACGTACTCGATGGCAAACAAATTTGCTCAATATTTTTATGAGTCTCTGAGCTCAGCTGGTTCTGGCAGAGATGACTTAATCCAGAGAGGCAGTAGGGGAGAGCTCATTCCAACTTTCCCTTTATTTGGGAAATGGAACATGAGTAATGTCTTCCCAGACAAGAGGGAGCCAATGCGGTCTCCTTGCCATGCACAGCATGCCACACTGCGTCTCTCGTGTCCCTCCACTGCACCATCTAGTGCAGCTCCCTCATATGGCACAACCATAGTGTGAAACACGATTGTCTCTGGTGCAGCCATTTCAGCACAACCGCTCTGTACACTGTGGAATAGCAAATAAAGTAATAATCAAGAAAAAAGTCTCACAGTAAATGCCATACTCACACTATAGGATTGCACTGAATTTGTCATTAGCAGATGATATATGTTAAATACAAAAGTACTAACTTCCCAGAACATTAGAGAAGTGAAAATTCTTTGTAAACCAGTAATTTCCCCTCTAAACATTCAGGTTAGTTCCCAGCACAAATTCTTCATGATTCAGTGCTTAAGGTTGAAAGGTCTCATCATTTACTTGTGTCAGAAATCTTAGGAGAACAGACATTTACTCAGATGAGCGAAGTCTAGAAATTGTGGCTAAGATTCTGCTGCACAGGTGAAACCAAGCTGCCACAAAGTCTGCAGGTAGGTGAGCATTTAGGCAACTGCAGATTAACAAGTTTCACCATGTCTCCTTCTTGTCTGGCCTTTTGGTCTTGATTGTTCTCCATTCTGTTCACCTGTAGCCATAACTGCTTTTTCAAGTAAATTACAGTGTGGCCTCTGCCTATATGATCACATTCTAAATGTCTCACTACCTCTCTCTTCTTTCATAGTCTTCTGCAACTAGACCATACCATCGTTATATAGAATTCATTGGCTGATACATGTTTATAATGCCAACTAATCTGTTCTGAACTTATGAATGCATCATTTGTCCTGAGCGTGCCTTTATTACATGCAAAACTGAGCTGGAGACCAAGTGACTCCCATCTCACTCTTCTTCCTGAGTTAGCAGTAATTCTTGGTGAGAAAACAAAACAGGAAGAATGGAATTTCTGTACTGATCTACTTGTCATCCATAAAAAGACCATATATTACTCAACTTTTAAGAAATGAACAGCAACATATTTTGGAATCCTGATATCTCCGAAATATATGGAGACGTTTTATTTTGGAGTTTTCTAGCATTCTTGATATCAGCCGAGAGCTGGCATATGGGATGGTGAAAACAAAACTATGTACTTTTAAACAAGGAATTGTTTTTCCATAAATACAGAATAGAAAAAATACGAGTCTTTAAACTGCTCAATATAAAAAAAAAAACGAAAAAAAAACAACAGGAGAAAGTCATATGAAAGCCTTTATTTTAAGGATAAAAAGTTGTATTCTAATTACATCAAAATGTAAGGTACTTAAATGCATACCTTACTTTACTGAAGTATAGCTTACTTTACATACAGGCGCATAATTATTTTCCTCAGGATTTAGGATGATGAAAAAACTGAAACATCATCTGAAAGTGCTGACAAAGTATATCTGGCACAGTAACTTCCAGTATGTTGAAGAATGGCGTTTTATAGCATTTCAGGCCTCACTGACTTTAACTTGACTGCTGAAAACAAGGAGGTAACAGCCATATTGTGCTTTCCCTATATATTTGCACTTGGAGCACAGAGGGAAAAGACACAAGTTCAAGCGTGTTTGGTGCTGGCTCGTTATACAGTGTATAGTCTCACCCCGAGCACATGGGAAACATGTGAAAGGATGGGAGGCAGCCATAGGCCCTAGCCAACATCATCTGTGAAAGATGCTTTTCCCTTTCAAGAGAAATTTCTTCCTTCTGGGAGTAAAAGAAAGGATGTAGAGATATTGTGGGTCTACTGTAGCTCTCTCCCTTGGGTTCCCCCAGTGGAAGGTTGGCTTCATCTATCTGATGGGAAGATTAGCTCTGAAACAGGACCCCAGTTTTAGCTGGCCTCTATTTTCATATATTTATTTATGTTATTCTGTTTTATGTGAAACTGCTGTGTTGGCTTGGCTTTGTTTTGTTTTTCTTTTTTTCCAAATGATTTCACATTCTTGGAGGAAAAGACTATCCCATAACACTGGTAGAGCATCGTCTCTAAAATAAATGGAAGTTTGTGAGGAACCTGACATAAACGTAAAGAGCTTGCCTAGAAGAGATTTAGTAACGCCAAAGTTTATACAAACAGTGTAAGAGATGACATTTAAAACTTGGTTTCAGTTTGAAGCATTTCTGTTTTACAAAGTGGTCTTCAGTCACGTTCTGCTACTGGTAATAACAAGGCACTGCAATATGTTTGCACAGGGGCTGAATTAGCAGAGAATTTGATCTTAACACTAAGAAACGGAGAAGTTATGTTCACAAGATCATTCTGTTTTCCCTCTCCTTCTTGTGTGCGTGTAGGAAGGGGAATGGGAATAAATGTGTAGTGTCTCTTTAAGATCTACCCTAATCAATCTTTGATGCTTGTTAATGTGTTGTTGTGATTAAAAGCTGTGATTCCTCCTTCATTTTTTCTATTCATCTCCTCTCACAAAGTCTGTTTCTTTGTATGGCAGAAGTCTGTACAGACTGATCCCCAGACAATTTGTGCCGTGAAATAAATTGCTATATTTACAAATATAGAAAAGAGCAAACACATTGTGCAAGCAGGTAGAGAGGCTGCAAAGAGATGAAGATAAGGCACACAGCCAGCACTGTTTGGGGGAGAAGGGAAATTGTCACTTCTGTGGTCGTGGCTGCTGCTGCTGTGATGTGAGCTGCTGTGGGGAGGGGATGCAGCACCTCTCTGTGTTCCTGCTCCACATGCTGCTGGGGGCTCTGTGCTGCCGTTGTCACAAATAGGAGTGCTCATAAGATGCTGTTGTCTGCATTACCCTCTCCTCCTCCTCCCAGCTCTAATATGTCTCAGTGAGAATGGATTTTGTTTGTTTTCTGCTGCTAAGATTTCAGAACGTTCCAACCCTTCCGACTGGATTTGAGAGGTGTTGTTTAAGGGGGAATTCCACCGCTGCCTCAAAACCAGCCATTTGCTGTATCCTGAGCTGACCCTTCCTGAACATATTACATCAAGTCTGAAAAATTTTGCTGCAGGAGAGCAGCAGCCTATTCCTTTCTTAGAAATGGTTTCATCTATTCCTTGCTGTTTGCTTAATAACCTTTTGCTACTTGAACTGCCCTTTCTCCCAGATTGTTTTTTCATTGTTTCCCTGGGGTCTGACTATGAGCTGAGTGTATAAAGGACTTCCAAATGAGAAGAAAAAAACCTCCAGATATTTTAACAGTCCTATTTCAGTAAATAAAAATAACACTGTATTTGATTAGCCAATTGCAATCATTTAAAGAACAGAGTGCCAAATATTTTTTGTAAACCCATGGCTTTTATTAGGAGCAGCATTACTGTTGTAAGAGAATATGATCCTTTTCTGAGCCTCACAGGCTACCTGCATCCTCATATTTATTCAAAGCACTGCTGGATGGGCTTTGTAAGTGTTGTAGGGCTAATCCCTGTGGTTCCTCGATTATGAGCATGTGCAGAGCAGCCGAAGGTACAGTCGCGCATGTAGAGCTAACACACACACAGACTTGCCTTGCAATGCCATGTTTGTGCATGTGTTTCTACAACTGAGAAGGAAACAGGGAGCCTGCCTGCCTTGCTGACTTGTCTGATGTTTTCTTGTTTCTGTTTCAGCATTCAGGATAAATCCTTCAACACCACAGCTTTAGCAGAGTAAGTCAACACTTTAAAGATGTGCCTTATTTTTAAATAAGAGTGGTAGAAAATAATTGTAAGTACTCTGAGAGGTCCCCAGCTTTCTGTCATATATTTTGATTCAGGTTTTTCTTAATCTAAGTATATTATTGAGACTCTGAAAAAAATTGCATAAAACAGCTGCCTTTACATTTTGTGAGACCATTTAGAAGTAAAGTACTTTTCTGGGAGGATATAAATTTGATGTACATCGTAAATGTTTAAATGCATGATTTCAGTGTAGGATAAATCTCCTGTGAATGTATTGCTCATTTCTGGTACTGATGATCTTGACAAACACAAGTGTGTCAGAACGCATGCTCTGTATTTCCTGCATGTGTGAGTAGGAAAAACAATTCTTTAAAAATATTAAAAAAAAAAAAGACAACAAACAAAAAAGCATCATTTAGACAGACCAGGCACCAAATAGATTGTTCCTTTGTAATTATTTCCATAAAATCACTGAAAAGGTTCTCATCTTTATTGTGATCATAAGGATATATGCATTGATTTTGTTGCTGCTATAAAGAGACAACAGAAGAAGGTGAGGACATTAGAAAGTTACAAAGGCAAAGTCTCCAGAGAGGATTACAAATGAAATGATCTTTTTAAATTCCAGTTTAAAACACTTTAATTTAGATATTCTCTGTGTTATTTTGCATGCTTTTGATTGTTTTAAAAGCTTTTAGGGAAGACTCTTTAGCAGTAATGTACTAAGCAGTATCTTAGGAAGGAAGTGATTTGTAGATCTGTTGTATATTAGATGAGTTTTACACTGCTAAAATGCCCATAATTTAAAAAGCCCTGGCTGGACTGCGATCTGTGTGCTTTAGTGTCATGGGGATGCATTCTAAAAGCAGGCCAAGCTGTAATTTAGTTTGAGCTATCATTCAGTACTGTCAAAATCACTAAAGGAAAAGGTAAGAAACATCTGTTGAGGACGTCTAAATAATTTTTCTCTCCTACATTCTTTGTCTTGCTTTATTTGATATTTTACATTACTTGCTCTTTCTGTGTGATTGGGTAAACATGGGAAGATTTAATGAGGGATAATAAATCATCAAATCATTTGGAATTGTTTTCACGTGTCCTTATTATTTAAGTGATGAACTGTGGTATGTAAAATTCATAGAAGAATATCCAAATTTCAGGTACTGTATATATATATATATATATATATATACACATATATATATTTTTTGTCTCCTTTCCTTTGCACTGTCCCCTGACATCCATCTGTGTTTCCCACAGAGATTCCCCTGGCATGGCCTGGTGCTGCCTGCCTCACCCTTGAGGTTTTCTGGGACATGAATGTGATGGTTTTGCTCATTGGAGCTTTGTGTGATCATAAAGACAAGGGCAGAAGGGCTGAGTGTGTGGCATCCCCTGGTAGGGGAAAGGGGTGCAGGCAGTGCTGTGTGGAGCAGAGAGGCAGCAGTGTGGCAGAGCAGGGCTGTTGTCTGAAGGCTGAATCTCTTCATTTAAGCTGTTGTTGGTTTTGTTCCAGGGCCTTTAATTCATAATCTTATCTTACCAAACATAGAAGTAGAAACATGCTTTTAGAAAAAAAAGCAGACAGACAACATCATTCAGAGAACACTGTCCAACTTGGTTTCCAAAGCTGATTTCCCTAGATCCTGTTTAAAGCCTGCCCCAAAGCCTGTTTTTGAGATCTGCTGAGAACACACAATTGTTACAGACTTCAGCACTCACTGTTTGTGCTGTGACCATATCTGAAAATAGATTTCTTCTATTTAGCAGAATAAAGAGAGAGATTGCCATGCAATGGTAGGCATTCCTATTTGACTTTGCTTGTGTTGAAAGCTGGATGGTATAAAACCAGTGAAACAATACTTTCAGGAACGTATCTCCAGAAAAGGCAAGTGCCTGGGGCTGCTGTGTTCTCAGCAAGCCATGCATGCAGGCCAATGGAGAAACTGTTCTTCACAAGAACATCTTAAAGGTCAAGTTTGCTAAAGGAAGCAGTTTTCCAGCTGTACTGAAGTGGTTGCTATTGAAAGGTGAAAATGGAAAAAAAAATTAAAAAGACATTCCCACTAAACCGTGTCTGGAATACGGAGGCACTGCTAGGGAGACAGAGCAAAGTCTGTGTAGATTGGGATCCCAGTCTTTATGTCAGTGGCCAACGTCCTGCCCATTGTAAGCTTCAACCCCTGTAGTTTTATGCCTTGAAGCTGTTCGTGTGTATACTTTATGTTTCAGGATTGAGTAAGATGCTGCTGCAGTTTTTCTGTTGATGACATCTAGTCCACATGGCCACAAGCTTTTAAAAAAATATATCAAACTCTTGCATATCCCTCTAGCTGTTAAAGACAGGTGAAGTTGCACAGTGAGGTTTAGAAATGGAAGGAGAGGAGGGTGAACGTGTGTGTGCTCATATGCGCAAACTGGTGTCAAGAACACATAAACTCCATTTCTTAATGAAACCAAGGTGAAAACACTCTATGCTTTCATGGTGACCATTTTCATTATATCACGAATTCATCTTTTTAAAAGTCCTACTACGGTCTTGGCCTTAAGCAGTGTCTTGTGTGAGTGAGTTTTGTCAGTTAATATTTATCCTTGCTGATAGAAAAAAATCTATTCACCCTTTCAGATGTGGTGCTTCTGAACTTCCCCACAATCTTTTTCATTGCATGATGGCCACTGTCTTGTCTGATTTATTAGCGCTAATCTTTTCTATCTACTGGTATCTTGTGAGTCAAATACATTTTGTCATGCTCAGTTGGAGTATTTGTAACTTGTCTTCATTTATGACTGTACTAGATGCTTACTTAGGCTTTCTGCTTCTCCAGCTCACCCTTATTACAGACAGCTGAGAGCAGGTGATCCCTTGGCATACTTGTCCAAGTTAAGAAGTACTCACACAAATATGCACACATGGACTTAGCTGTGTTCTGTTGCCCACCATCCTTCCAGAGGGAAGGGGATAACTGCACCCACTGCAGGAATATTATGTGATTAGGTGGAACATGCAACTGTAGGTATGTATTCCAGTTGCATGCAGCAAATGCTTTCATCCAAATGCTGATCTATTCAGGAAGTGTGAACACTTGAGTGTCCCTTTAAATAATTTCTGCAGCAGTCAGGCTTTTGACAAAAACAGGCAGAAGACTGGTGGGGAAGAGGAATATATTAAAAATCTTGACATCAAATTGCAATGCAGAGCTATGAAATTATCACTTAATGTGCTCTGTCCTAAGCTGGGCAGCTCTTCTAAAAATTTAATAAGTCAGCAGAAGTACAGCCTGCTTCTCCCATAATGAAGAGATTCTTCTGCCAGCTGACTTCCAGTGATCCAGGCCTACTTAGTGTCTGCACCCTGTGAGTATGAACAGAGGGTGAGGAGAGGGCCCCAACTTCTCCCCAGAAATAATACCTGGGAAGGGTATGTACTTATTTGTTGGGAGTCTGTGCAAATACATGTATATTTATTTGAAGAAAAATTGTTTTTTGGCTTTACAGTTGTTTAATTCTTTAAAGTTAGTGCCCAGTATACTGCTCATCACCAGTATTTTGCATATATATGTAGAAATTCTCTGTTTGATTATGCAGTCCTGTTTGATTATCCTAGTCCTAGTGCTGTTTTTTTACCTAAGGGGATGGAATTGATTATAATTTTTCATGCATTTTAAAAAATTCTGACAGTTTCCTTTTAAAAATTAATGATCATTTTGTAGTTTATGTGGGGATTCCATTCCCTGCTGCTCAGAGCACAAGGAATGACTGCTCTACTGTGGCTAATGTTTTTGTGAGTCTGGGAGAAATTTTCTCTAATTATTATTGTGTTTCATGAAGTATATTTTAAGAAATTCAAACTCAGACTTTCTTGTAATTTTCCCAGTAACTTTTGAATTCTTTGTCATCGTTACTTTCAGCTGGCTGAAAAAAAACGTATGCCAAACTGTGTACAATCAACATTTCAAATCCTTTTCTTCCTCTGAGATTGAGACTTAGAGATTTAGATCTGTGGAGAAGCTGTGGCATTAAAAGAAACCAGCCAAGGTGTGAGAAAATGAAATGTGTTTATGCTTAGTTTGAGCTGCACGGTCATGATTATTGAAAGCTAAATTTCTGCAGTAGCAGAAACTATTTTTCAGCAATTATTTTGTATCCATTTCCAAGGTGTGATGAGGATTCAGATTCTGTTTGTGGAGCTCACGCAGCCAGTTCCAGCCCCAGGTATTCTACTGCAAATTTTGTCTGAAATACACTGGCAACAAGTAAAATCGCCAGAGTGCATTTTTTAAATTGTTAGAAAGAAACCTTTATTACCAAGAGAATGCATAATCTCTAAGGTATTACCTGCTGTAACTATTACTACCTTTGGGAAGTGCATTTTTGTTGTAGATATTTATGTGTAAGCAGTATAAGAATTAAATATTTTTATATAAACAATTATATTATGTTCTATGTTTCTTAACTTAAAATCACAATTAGTTTCATTCAGGTGCAGCTCTGATGCTATTACATTGAATTCTTCTGTACAGCACCAGATACAAAGCAATAATAAGTGGAGCTGTGTAACCGTGCAAGGATATACACATTGAAGAGTTCTTTTGGGGGAAAAAAAATCCTTCAGACTAATTTAATTGAAGTATTCTTGACATATGAGTCTCTCATTTCTGTGCCCGTCTGTTAATTGCTAGATGATGCAACCTTTTGGAAACATTCTTTGAATCAGACAATACCTTAAATTTAGCAACACTTTACATTGTTGGAATGCCCATAGGATATAAAGCAGCCTACCCTGTAACAACTGCCTTGGAGGACACTTGCAGAAAGCGTGGGCAGCAATGGTTTTAAGTCTGTAAACACCCTGCAAGCATCCATCTGGAGGCTGTTGGGTCACAGATGGAAAGTGAGTTTGGCAGCTCAGAGTCCTTAGGTTAAAATGTTGTATTAGCAAGATAACATTTCTTAAAAAAAATAACAAACCCTAAGGGCATTTTAATTCAGTATCCCCTAGAATCCCTTGGTTGTGTTAGGTGCACACCAGGAAAGAGATAGTTTCTCAGTTAACCCTTATTTGACCAGCTAAAGCTAATATCTAGATTCCCCCAACAAACTAAGCAGCAGCTGGGGACTTCAAAGCAGTAGTGCCCATCTGCTCATCCTGCCAGCTGCACAGGCAGTCTTGCATCCCTCAGGGAATACATTAATCTGCCAAAGATTGGGTTGGATGGGTGCAGATAAGGACAGAAAGGTCTTCTTCAGGGCAGGTTTTCACCCTGTAGAGTAGGCAAAGTTCAATGATTTCCAGAATATCCATGAACAACATCTATTTAAACCAGCAGAAGGGGGACTGCAAACTGGTAGCACATGTTAAATATTCCTTCTATCCAAACATCTCCCCTGTTGTTCAGATCCTACTTTGTGTGTAACCTTCCTTGCTTTCTGTAAAAGCTCTCAAAATGTTAGAAAGAAAGTGTCAGAAGGGAAGTGTGTCTGTAGGGAGAAATTACTCTATATACCATCATTTATGTGGGATTATAAATCAGCATGAAGCATTGGAGATGGAGGGGTCTGCTGCATGAACAAATTTCAGGACTTATTTGGGGAGTATGAAATGTAGCACTGAGGGCAAAGAGTGCCTCCAAAACTAGTCTTATTCAAATGGCTCCCTAACCGAACAGGTAACAATATGAATGGCAGTTTAGCTTCTGAATATTCAATAAACAGTAGCCTCTTATAATCATTTTACTAACATATGCAGTGTTTGTTCGGTGTGTAGATAACAGCCTCATAAAATTAAACCACCATGAATAGCTAAGTTCTTGTTGCTGTTCTTCATAATGTTTTGACAGGTGTCTGAAGTCCTGTCTAACGGATTTCATTTTAATTCTCTTACAGAGATGATGATAACAAAGAAAATTATCCAGACAACACAGCTATCCTAGAAGAAAGGTGGCCGCCTTTGCAAGATACTCAGCAGCAGAAGGAGCAGGCTTTGAAGCCTGACATGGGCAACTTAAAGCTAAGAAAACCTAAGCCTGTCTCAAAGTTAGAAAATGGAAAAGGCCACGAGGAAAGTCAGGTAAAGACTGAATTTACTAATGTCTGAGCAAACACTCATTTTGAAATGCAAACTGAGAATGAAAACTGAAATCCATGACGTGATTATGATTCTACGGTAGGCTACTCCAGTTTTCAGGGACCTGGAGTTCTGTGGCACTCCTGTAATGATAGGCAGTTCCTTGGAGGCAGGGAATTGCAGAGAGGTTGCAGGTGTTGTCAGAAGTGAGTAGAGAACATATCTCTAGAAGTACAAATCTCTTCAGATTACCTGTGACTACTTGATTAAATTCTTCCTGTTTTATTTGAATGAGAATCTCTTACAGTAGTATTTTGTCTGCTTGTGGAAAGGTTTGATATGTCTTACTTTCTGTTTTTCTCATGCTTCAATAATACCTTAATTCCAAAAGACTACAGAGTCTACTACTACTGCTCTGCCCATGGGTTTCTTGGGCATGAACTGAGGGGAGGAGAAATGTAATTTTTCTAAAAGCTACAAAAAAAAGAAGAAAACGGGTATAAATGAAGAAGCCTCTGCGGCCAATGGTTCATATACATTGCTGCATTGACTTGAGATTTACCACCCTGCAGCATTTCCTGGTAGTGCCTCTGTTCCCTCCTGGTGTTTCCCAAGTTGTGTCTCATGTGCAGTGTAAAGGATTGAGCTCTCCTCCAGGTTTCACTCTTCAGCAAAAATATTCTCATGACTGGGACCACTGATGTTAACTTTGGCATATTGGCAGCCTGTAGCAGAGACGAGGCTTGTGAGATGTCTATAGTTTATCTCTTCTTTTATGTTTGCTGTATTTGGTTGTTTTTTGTCTCTTCTTGTTTGTGGATGGAAATTTGTAGAGAGCTTTCTGAAGTGCTTTGAACTCTTCACAGACCGGGAGTGATTATGATCCTTTTTTTTTTTTCTTTTCCCAATTTAGAATGAGAACTCATTGTTTAGGATGGCATGCCTTTCATTTGAGATGAGGAATGTCTTTTTGGATCCTGAAACAAAATCAAAAGCCAGTAACATCCTATTGGCATTACCACAGTCTCTTTCAGAACACTGGTATCAGCTCTTTCCCTAATCTTCTTGCATGCTTTTTCTGGAGTTTATCCCCAAGATAAGTAATAAAGTACTAGCTTCTGCATTTTTTTTTAAATTTTGTGGATGTATTGTATTACTAGGAAATATTATGTAGGCTGCAGGTAGGTGAGATATACCTGCTTATTGGCAGATAAACGATTGGAAATTTTGCCCTACGAAGGGCAAATGGAGACAGAGTTGTGAGGAAGTCATAAGAAAGGGCAACATCTGACCCATACATCATCTCTTGCTCTTTCAACTACTTTCAGTCTGTGTCTCCTGTCTGCCCCCTTCCTATGTCATGCCTGCATCTCTCACTCAAAGACAGCTAACACAGCACAGATTTGCTGCTCCATAGTATTTTATGTATCCTAAAGATGTTAAATGAAAATGTTTTCTTTCATGGGAAATTTTTTGTTCATATATTTAGACTGTCATAAAATAGCAGTGCAACTCAGATGTGTAGTCTCAGGAATAAAACACAGTATCAGGCAAATAATTTTCTAGGGCTTAACTTTGGAAAAACAAGATGTTTAACATGCCTGTGAAAAACAAGGCTCCGCTTGCAGAAGTGCTCTGGAAAGTGTTTGTTTTCTGTGTGGAGTTTCTCACTGAGATCCTTGTTGTGTTGTGACCTTCAAAACCCTACTGCAGCCCTTAATTTTAGTCAGTCACATCTGCCTGTCTCCATTTTGAAGCTGAAAGTGATTTCAGCTATTTCAGCTCCTGTTTATGTGTATGTGGACCACCTGGAAAAGTGGACCAAATTGATGCTTTCAGAAACTGTGCAACTGTATATACTTTCTTTCTGTGAAACACCTTGCCTTCAAGACATTCTGAGAGATAAATAACGTACATACAACTAGCTGATATCAAGCTGACAAACAATAATGTTACCAGATGTGTTGTAAATGAAAAGTATGATGCACTGCAAATGGTGGCTAAACTGTTCATCCTCATTTTTCTGGGTTTCTTGATACAGAACGCTTTTTCAATGGACTCCTCTCTTTGCTAGCAGAAGTTTTCTGTGACATCAAAACCAGAATGTGGCAATATTGCAGTGACAGTATCTTTTTAAAAGATGTTGCTCTGATAAGCCAAGAATGTTTTCTGCTCAGAACTATGTGCTGCTATTAGCTGTAGTTTTAGAAAATAGTCTCCTTAAAATCAGAAGAGACTTCTGGTAAATAAGTTTGCTGCATGTGTGGAAAGGATTTAAATCTGTTTGAGTGGAAAACAAGTTGGTGTGTTTCTACTGGAGAGAATCCAGGTGACTTCCATTGTAGAAAGGACACTCAGCAGGAGCAGGCATCTGTGCTCATGTAGGGGAAGATGGCCAGCATGGGGATTTGGGGCTTCACAAGGCTCAGCTGTGTGGAAGTGTGATGTTTGTGCCTGTTTTTTATGACACAAGTGTAATACTGTGTACACGTAGCCTAGATCTTGTTGAATAAAAGGTTACTGAATTTGCTGTGATGATTACTAGGACAAAATCTAATAATAAAAGTTCAATACCAGATGACTTCAGCTGACCAAATATCAACTGATACAAAAATATTAAAGAAAAGCTGTTCCTTGGATACTGTATGCAGTTATTTCTTTGGAGGCTAGAGCTGGGTGTGGGGGGGATCTGTAAACTTTTCGTATTGAAACAGAGGCAGGCTGCTGGAATGTGGTTCTGCCTCAGTATTCCAGCTACTTGAGTTCATCTTTGCTGTTGTTTTCAAGAACTTTTCTTTTTTATCAGTTCTGCAGCACTGACCTATAGAATATCAAATTAAATAGGTATTTTTGTGTTTCAAGATCTAAAGAAGCATGTATTCAGAATAGCCTTAGGAAGGACAAATGGCAAGGAATGGAAAGTACTCTTTCCTAATGCTTTCTCTATCATTCACCTTTGGTGCACAATGATCATAGAACCACCAAGGTTGAAACAGACCTACAAGATCATCTAGTCCAGCCGTCACCAACAGTTCTTACTAAACCACGTCCCTCAACACAAAATCCAAACGTTCCTTGAACACCTCCAGGGTCGGTGACTCTACCACCTCTCCAGGCAGCCCATTCCAGTGCCTGACCACTCTTTCAGAAAAGTAGTATTTCCTAATGTCTAGCCTGAATCTTCTTTGGCACAGCTTGAGGCCATTCCCTCTGGTCCTATCACCAGTTACACAAGAGAAGAGGATGATCCCCAGCTCACTACAACCTCCCTTCAGGTAGTTATAGAGAGCAGTAAGGTCTCCTCTGAGCCTCCTCTTATCCAGACTGAACATTCCCAGCTCCCTCAGCTGTTACTCATAAAGCCTGTGTTCCAGACCCCTCACCAGCTTTGTTGCCCTTCTTTGAACCCGCTCCGGGGCCTCAATGTCTTTCTTGCAGTGAGGGGCCCAAAACTGGACACAGTACTCAAGGTGTGACCTCACCAGAACTGAGTGCAGAGGCATGATCACTTCCCTGCTCTTGCAGGCTGCACTGTTTCTGATACAAGCCTTGATGCCATTGGCCTTCTTGGCCACCCAGGCACGCTGCTGGCTGATGTTCAGCTGAGCATCAATCAATACCCCCAGGTCCATTTCCTCTACATGGTCTTCCAGCCACTCTGCCCCAAGCCTGTAGGGTTGCCTGGGGTTGTTGTGGACAAAGTGCAGAACCTGGCATTTGGTCTTGATTATCTTCATCACACGGGCTTTAGCCCAGCTGTCTTACCTGAGACAGTGCTCTCAGTATATGAGTATATGAAATGTATTTTGTTGAAGCAAATTTACGACTTGAATGCAGCTTTGGTTTTGCATTTTAACTGGACTGAATTTCTTTGACACATTAACTTAAATAGCCTAACGTTAAAAAGATTATTAAGATAAGCTTCCATACTACCCACAGTTCTATTTTTATCAGTTTTAATAGCTGTTGTGGTCAACTTTTGAATCCAAGCAGATATAAACATGAATATTTATGCCCCTGTAGATGCAGTATGGACATAACCTGTGGCTGGACACACATGGTGTATCTTAGAGGTAGCACATGACTGCTGCCTCTCAAGTACCTTACAGTGTGATGGTGACAGCTGCCTCTTCCTGAAAACAGATTTCAATGTTATCAGTATAGATCTCATAGGCCAAGTAGGAGAAATTAATGTTCTCTAATTCAATAAATATCCTGATAATTTATAAGAGGACTTTGGCTAAATTAAATTGTAATAGTATAGTTAAAATATCATCACAAAGAGGAAGTAAAAGGCCAGTGATTGTTTTTTTAATTGATTTTCACCAGATCTTTTTACGAATTCTTTTAGTCCTCCAACTTCAATTTTGAGAGGCAGTTCCTGAATCTTTTTCCTGAGAGAAGAACCCTTAGGCAACTTCCTTACATTATAAAACTTTTAATAAAATTTACAGTTTTTAAAAACTACTTTTATTGAAGTAGTGTACCTCTAAGCAACTTCATTCATAATATTCGAAGATGGAACAGACTACAGAAATAATTAAAAAAAAACAACAATGATGGTTTTTGCAGATGTAGAATGACCTCAGCACTCCAAGTTCCCATGCAAGTGGTCCTACCCCATGTTCAGACCTTCAAGATTCTGACTAAGCTTTAAAAATGAAGCAAAATCAGAAATGTTTTAACAGAAGAAGTGAATGCTTTTCTTTTCTAAGCACTCTGTATTTCAGTTTGGAAACAATTAGAATAAAACATTGACTGATAAAAACTAATGAAGAAAAAAAAGCAAATCTGATTTAATTTTCAAACAACTTCATTAACTTACCCATTGGCAATGCAAGGGAGATATTATAACCCATTTTATAGGTAAGGGAATTAAGACATGCTGAATAACTTGTCATGCCCATATAATTGGTGTTTGGCAATTTGAAGTAAAAGGCATATCTTTCTAATTCCTAGTTCTGGCCTCAGTTTGTTGGAGTTTTTTATTTTTTGTATGGCAAGGTGGCTGATGTGGCTTTTTTTCCTCAGACTTTCACTAAGAGGAAGTAATTTCAATTTAAATGCAAATGTATATTTAAACAAAAAATATTGACTGCTGTGTGTAGCACCTCTTAGCTCATATTCCTACATCTGTTATCTAATACACAACAAATGGTTTACAATGGCTTCTTGTCTGCTTTGGATACAAGAAATCTTTTTCTGAGAATGAAAATGCTGCTTTATTTAAAACCTTTTTGTGTTTTCCAGTTGCTTCCAGATTATTAGCAAAAAACAACAATGATCTACAAATCAGAATCCAGTTTCATGGATCTCTTTCTTTCTTTCTTAAAGCAAAATATTCAGCTACATTCGATCAGCACTGACAGAACATAGAATATTGTTGTTGTTTCCTTCAGGAGCTGGAGAGTTCATTGCCAGGCCTCCCAGAGCGGCAAGGGAAGGCAGGATCCTCAGCTAATGACTGTGCATGGAATGTGGATTTTAGATGCCAGGAAGCTGTTGTGAGATTTCAGCCAAGGTAAGCTTTGGGATAAGAGAATGCATTTCACTTCTAATTAACTGTAGGAAAGGCTAATTCATTTGCTGTCTGCTGTATAAGATATTCAGACTCCTGTCTCCCATTGGCAGTTGTATTCAGTATTTATATGCCAAGAACTGTTTGGAGAAAATGAAAGGGATGAAGATAAGAATGCAAATTTCATCCACCTTTAAATCCCCTATATTGCAAGCTGCATGAACATCCTTGCTTCAGAAATTTCTGTTCCTCTGTGCCAAGTTTCAAAAATATCTCAACTCTTTTATTTTTACTGTTTTTTTCCCAGTGCTGACTTGCCTCACTTTCTCAGAGCTGTTTTCTTGCTGAGAAATGGAAATGTGAAGCAGCATACCTGATTTTGGTATGGGTGTACATTTATGTATAGTTTACATTCCTCTTGTTTCAATGCTGTGAATGTACCCCCTTCAAAGGGGAGACATTCAGTCCAGGTATAAGTCAACTTTTGACCAGAGGCAACTCAGGAGAACATGAAGTAACTCACATCTGGCAGCTACATGTAGTCAAAATTCCATTCCCAAGCCTCCATAGATAAGCAAAAGGCTAGAAATGGGGCTTCAACTCACCTAGCTGATCCAACTTACCAGTAAAGGCTCTGCTAAGAAGCTTAGACTGTGTAAATAAGACTGTGCTCTTCACAGTTATCCTTTTTTTGGGCACTGCTTTATGGATTTCACAAGCACAGTTGCTGTTCAGCCCTGATTTACTGTTTACACAGAGTTTCAAACAGACAAGTTGGAGCTCTGGTCTTTATTTCTGCCTGTATGGGAACTGCTGAGTCACAGCCTGAACCTTTGATTGATCACCTGAGGTGAGAAATGATTCAGCCAGAGGAGCACAAGTGAAGGCAATTCACCTATGCTGCCGGAAGGGGTGGAGCCTGGCTGCATCTCTCTTAGAGCCATTTAAAAGCTGAATGCCAGTAGGGAAGGATCTCTTCTGGAGATCTGCTCTGCTGGAGTTTTGTAAGTGAGCCCAGGTTAAGGGTGAGCTTTCTCTCTATTCTGTTTTTGTTATCATTATCTGCTTTGCCTAACTCTCTTGTTTATTTTGTAATTATAATATCTTAACATTTATTGATTATACACTGCCTAAATGTGCATGATAGCCTTAGTGCTCTGATTGCTTCCACAGCAGCAGTATAACAAGGGACTCTGGCTGGAGTCAGCAGTAGCTCTGTAAAATCACAAGAATGCTCATTGTGTCAGGACAGAGGTGTGGATGTATGGAGCTCGTTGCTTCCAAGATCTGTTTCAAGTCAGGGCTAGGTTATTTGTGACAGTCGTTTTCCAATTATGTTTTGGTGCTTCATGTGAAAGGAGCCAGTTGCCTTCACAACAGCTTTTAGTAGGCAATATTGTAAGTGATACTAACTTATGCTCTTGGAGGAGATTTTAGCAGCATGTCTGCACATTTAATTAGCTTTCATGAACAACTACTTTCACCATCCAATGCTTGCATTTGCCACTGAGACACTACAAGTTCTGCTTCTTGGAAAATGTTTCTAATTAGCCCCAGCTGAAGAAACTTGCCTTGTACTTCTCTGATATTCTTAACTTGTGAAAAAAATCACACCAATTTATTTTAAGGAAGAGAACAGTGAGTTTGGTTATGAACGAGTTAGACCTACATAGCAGCTTTGCTGGTAGGAGCCCTGTGTTTGGATGGGTAATGAAATGTAACACTAGTTAATTTCAATTGATGACAGAAATGTAATGAAAGAAAAGGGGATTTTAAACATAAAAATCAGAGTAGAGCGTGCATGAATATAACAGCAACTATGGCAAAGTTCTCCTGTCCACTTCAAAAGTTCAACCTTAGTTTTTCGGATGTGAAACCATTGCTCACTATGCTGTTTACTCCTGTACAATATCAGGGTAGCTCCTTAGGAAGCCCGTTACTTACAAGTGCTATTTCTGTTAAATAGAGGCACCTGGAATTATTATGCTAAGAGTTGTGAAAATGTAGTGATAGCATCTGAGGTCTGGCCATCTCATACTTTAATTGTAAAGCAAAATGAAGGTGACTTTACTCCCAAATTAGGGACTTTGAGCATGGAGTAAACATGTTAAGTTGTGGTCCTTAGTCTCATGCACACATTGTATTCAATTTAACTATCTTAGCCATCTTTAGAAAAATTTTTCCACTACCTGGATGGAGCAAAGGACTTTGAATTATATGTGCTGCAGTTATTGTTTTCAAGTCTGAGATTCACTCTGGCTGGCGACTCCTCAGAAGAGCCACCAATAGCTTGCCCCAGTTCTTTACCATTAACAAGCTTTGATAGGGCCTTGTCATTGCGTGCCCTTGTCTCAGGTTGTGTAGATCACTGGCTCCTGTGTTGGAATCACAGAACTGGCTTGTGCAATGGACTGTGAAACACAGCTGCCAAGGTACGTCATGCTTTGTTTTCTGCTTTCCCTGTTCTGGAACATGGCAAAGGTTAAGCATTCAGGCTTGGGCACAGCTAGACTTCGACAGAAAGCATCTGCTAGCCTTGCACAACTTGAGTTTCACTGTCTTCTACTCTGATCTTGCTAGGTTAATGGTAAAACTAAAAATCCTTTGTAACACTGCAACTTTGAGGGATCCATAAATCACAGACCAAAAGCTTTCTGCTCTTTTGGAGGAGATGACCGCACTGCTGCAGGGGTGCCATGGAGCAGGCTTCTCTATCACATGTGTGGAGAGGACAGGAAAAGAAGGATTTATTTCTGCCTTGTACTAAGAAGAAAGGTTCACTATTTCTAGTGAGATTTGTTCCTTCTGCTTTAGTTTGATTTCTTCAGATTGATATATCTCTGCAATGAGTCTCACTGCAGCTTGAAATCTAAATACCTCTGAATTGTACAGGATTTGTCTTGAAATCTGTTCTAGTCATGTAAAAATAGGATAATTTTAATTTGTCTCAATGTGGATAAAAAAAACACAGAGATACAAATAAAAACTCTGGGGTACAACTAGGGCTTCCCAACGTTTCCTTGCTCCCTTCCACATGGGAGAGCAAACTCTAGCAGTAGTATCAAAGTTCTCAAGGCAAGTAGCTTCTGAGAGCGCAGTTCAGTGGGGACTCATGTAACTTCCATGTTTTTTGCTGAACAGCTACAACTTTGGGATGTATGGGAAGGAGCAGGGAAGGTGCAGAAGTGCTGATATCCCTGTGCCATAGGACAGAGACACATGGGTGAGGCAGAGCTGGAGAGGCTGCATTCCCATGCAGATAACCAGGCAAGCCAGGAGAGAACCTGGCCAGATCCCTCTGATCTGGCATAAATTCATGGTGACCAGTATGTTTCTGTGTATATTTCTGTATTTGCAAATTAAGATTAGATGATGAAACATCGCTATGCAGGGAAATGACAGATCTCTTCCTATGTTCCTAAAAGCAATTTCTTCAGGAGCCTTGATATTAAAATATTGGTGTTCAAAGTTCCAATTACAGTTCTTATATCATGGAATGGAAAATTCCTGAGTAAGCTCTTCAGCTGTCATATGCCCCTTCCTCTCCCCCCCTCCCTGACACAAAAGGGAAAAAAAAAAAAAAAAAGAAAAATAAAGAAAAAGAGAGGGGATGCAGAAGGGCAAAAATGTCAACACATCACTGTACCCTAAGTAAGGACTATGCCTTGTGAGCATGAGCGGCTCTCATAATGTAAGAAAAGTAGTTGTGGCAGTCAGCCAAAGCCAGCCTTTTCCAAAGTGCTGTAGCTTGAGAAAGAGACTGCTCTACTGAATCTCTGTATATCTGCTTGCTCCAGCATTCAGAGACAGCCCATAGAGCAGCATAGGATGTGTCCAAACACTTTTAGGCCTTTAAAGGTGTTGTTTCTTACATCGTGAATATGCACTCTGTTAATACAAAAGCCTCTTGTAGTTCTGCTTTGCTTTTTAAAGATTCATAGGCAAACTTCTTATGCATTTACTTGCAGCCATGTAGTAAGGTGGTGACTATGTTAGAATTTCATAATGCTTTTTGCTGTTTGTTGGGAGTCTCAGAAAAGATGTTCCTATTTCCCTGATTCTGAGATGTGTTGGTTGTGGGGTAACCTGTTGATAGGCTGAATCAATCTCTCTTATGTGCTAGGGAGACTACCTTTTCTGAGCTGTTCACCTGGCAGGTCATCCTCATAGTGGGCAGGGTAAAACTGATGGCAAAACTGAAGGTGGGGAAAGAGTGTTGGCCCAGGATAGACCAGAAGTGATTCTGGAAAAGATCCATTCCATAGCATGGGATGTGGTTTGCTTTCAAGGAATCATCACTGGTAATATCACTAATGCGATAGTTGGCCCAAGACACCATGTGCATGTGGCACTGTAGTGCATGAATAAATAGGTCTCCTGGGAACAATGGTAGTAGAACTCAGGGTTAGACTGATTTAAATGACTAGATTCCTGTACCTGATCCTAGAGAACTGGGAGGAGCGTAAAGGGTGAGATTTGCAGATTAGAGAATATAATGCTCCTTCCTGCTTTTGATCTGGGAAATGAAAATGAAATTTGCTTGGCTTATGTTTAAATATTTTTCCTAGTTTTTAAATCTACGTAGTTTTATTTGAATTTTATGTGAGTTTAGAAGTAATATCTGTATCATGCATAATTCAGCAATTCACTTGTTCTGGTCTGTTTTTCAAACAGCTCACTGCTCATGCAAATTCATCTGCCCTTGAAGTCTGTTAGGAGCTCTGGTATGATAATTAACTTTTAAAATTTTTTTAATGTCCACAAGCTTCAAATGTAGATGTTATTGGATTCAATCTTTGCATCTGTGCAATAGCAGAATTCTGCCAAAGCCAGAGTTGCCAGACTCCATGAAGAGTGTGAGATAGGGCTTTCTCTATTTCAGTAAGGATGGTATCGCATATATATGAATAGCAGCTGTAGAGGGAAGTGTATTTTCATTATTTTACACAAGGTCAGTAGTATGGAATATGAATCACCTACAGTTATTCATGTTGAGGTTTAAAACAATTTTAGTGTTCTCAGCACAGATGGAAAATTAGGACTTTGTTACTGCTGCTTTTGAAGTTAATGGATATTTTGTGATTGTTTTGTTTTTTTTTTTTTTAAATGACAGTAGGATCCAACCCTTAGTTATTAAATCGTAAGCCCGTGTTGCCTGACAACACTCAGATAAACTGCATTTGCCTAGTGGGGCATTTGGTCTTAGTGAAAACAAAAAAAAGGCACACCCCAGAACTCTGTAGAGTAGGACCAGCTCAGCATATTTACTGCTAGTGTAAATCATTTTCAGACAAAAATGGTTATTTGCTTCAGAGATTTCAGAAAATGTCTGGCATTTCCAAAATCCCACGAATGCAAAACTGGAAACATCTCCCTCTAGTATTTCAGTGAAATAGAATAGAAAAATGCAATGCGTTTGCACCCCTAAAAAAAGTAGGTGAGAACATCAGCTTGAATGAGAGAGGGGGGGAGCTGTGCAGTTTTTAGTCTCTGAAGTGCAAGATTCATGAGTGACATAGCTGTGAGCATAGCATTAAGCAGAATATCCTACAGTGCCTGTAAGAACTGCTTCTTTTGTTAAGGAAGTTATGTATTACTCTGAAAAGAGTCATTCAAATGGGTACCAGAAGAGCACAAAGCTGACATGTCCTTTTATTCTTTGTGTCTAGCACTAGTTCAATGTAATAAATCACTTTTTAAGTATATTTTTTGTAGCCTTGCAGGTTGTTCCTTACATGTTACTAAACCAAACTGTAAATAACATTTCACTCTTTCCAAATAAATTAGTTTAGATCTCTCCATGCTTCTTCATAGTGTTTTTAAAACTCTTCTGCTGTCTCATATTTTCATTTCTGCTGTATAAAAGCTAGAGCTGATGGGCACCAACCTTTTAGGCTATGGCTGCATCTGCCTGGATGTGGCACAGTTCTCATGCTAGCAGCAGTCAGTGGGAAGAGGTTTTCCCCTTGCTGGTCCAGGACCTTCCTTTTCTATTTCCACATGGAGAAGCAGTGGAGAAGCTGAGGGAAAAGCAAAGCTATGGATGCCACTGGGGGCTGCTACATGACATTTAGTACAAAACATGGAAATCTCTCTTGCTCAAAGGATTTCCATCTACTTGTGAGAGTCCCACAGCTCTGTGTGAAATTTGCAAAAGATAATTTTAAGCAGAAAGCTGAAGGTTGAGAGCCTGAAATGCCATCAAGTTTAAATATGGAAAGGCTTATTCTTTATGGCTCTGATAGAGGAAAATCCTTGTTCTTAAAGCATGTGAGACAAATAGTGCTTAGTTTTAAACATTTGAACTCTTTTTGGCTTTGACTGTCATGGCACCAAGAACCGCTGGTGCTGCTGATGGACTCTGTGTAACACAGTGAACTTACAGTTTAACAACATGGTTTCCAGGTTCTCATTCACAGTTTAAATATAGGTTTTGCAGAATTCCGTAAAACCACTGGTATTTTTTTTTGCATGAAGTATAAAATACAGAGGTAAGTTTCATAGAAATGTTATTTTTCTAGCATCTTATAACTTATGTACAAATGTGATGAAGAGTCTAGAACATTTGTTACATAAACAGGAAATCTACTGATGGAAAAGTCTTGTTTTGTTTTGTAGAATTGATCAAAACACATGTGTTTCACAAAATGAAGCAACCGAGCAACTATGCAGCTCAAGTGAGGTAAGTGTGACCAGAAATGGAAATATGATGTTAAAATTTTGAATCAAATGAGTTTTTTTTCTCAGCACCTGGAATAATCGCTTGAGAATTCTAGATTATCTTTTTAATGAATCATTTCAGCCATGTTCTTGAGGACAGGTCCAAAATGTGATGTGAGACTGCTGTAATGGTTTAAAAGTCAGACTTTTACACTAAGTAAACTGCACTACATCTTATTTGTGACCAGAAAAGAATTAAACATTCAATATTAACTAGGCAAAATGCCAAAATCTTGCAAGAAGATCTGATTTTTTTCCTCATATTGCAGCTTAAATCAATTATGTTTCCTTTAAAAATAAGGACGTCTCAAAGGTTGCTACATCCTACATAAATAAACGATGAACAGCACAATGTACTCTGAAGAGTGCTTTTGTTAGAGAGAAGGAGGGAGGGTTGGAGTGAAGAGAGGAAGCATGGAAAGCCATATAACACCTGTGATGCTTGAAACAAGAGCTGTTTTCACAGTGATTATGACAGGAGCACTCCATGAGTAGAACACAAAGAAGCTGTTTCTGAGACCAAGTCAAACAGTAGATAAGCCTGGGATAGGCTGTCACAGTCAAAAGCAAGTTGTGCAGTTACTCAAAGTAGGGAACATTATAAAGCATTTTCACAAGCCAAGGTATCTGTATACTAGCAGATACAAGCTTAATTCTGCAAAAACGTGAATGTGGTGGGATGTAAACGAGGACCAGATGATATTTTAAAGTGTAGCCTAAGAAGACAACATAAGCAGATGGGAGCAGATGTGCTGGGGAAGAACTGGGTGTAAAAGGAAGTCTATTCCTGTCAAAGCATTGAATACCAGCTTTGTTTCTGTAATGTGCCTGAATTTCATTAGGAGAAAACTGCCCTGTGTCCTTTTAAAGGAATTCAGATAAAAAATGCTATAATTATTTCCTCTGCATTCATGTCATTGCTGTGCAGCTCACTGTTGAAAATCCCAATAATAACTAGGAAGGCCCTTTCTGTGACAAGCATTAGGGAGAATCCTGGTCTAGTTAAGGTGCTGGGAGAAATCACTGTTATTGTTTCTTCTGAGAAGTTCCACTGCAAATAGCAAAGAGTTTCTGCAGCTAGAATCATAGAAAATCTGAGTTGGGACCCACAGAGATCATCAAGTCCACTCTTGTCTTCACACAAGATTTAAATATCAAGATTTTAAATTCGTGCAAAGCATCCCTCCAAGGTAAATATTATAGTAAATAAAAAACAATTAAAATAAACCCTAAAAATAGTAAATAAAAATATTAAAACAGATAACTAGTTCAAAAATTAAAATGAGTTGCAAATCATTTGTGTGGAATGAGCCACAGCCACACTGTGGTGCTAACTTTCTTTGTAAAATCTTAGATTGTTGTATATCTCAGGTCTCCTGCAAGCCTAAATGCAGAGGCGATATTACAGAATTCCCTTTTTGGATTACAGAAAGTGCTGTCTCTCCTCACTAATCACCAGTGACATTATACAGACCCAGGGCATATCTTGTTCTATCTTACTGTTGCTTGTTTGTTACCCATGAGGGAAGTTTTGAATGGAAAATGTCATTTGCCTCAAGACACAAGTATTGCCCTAGCAGATACCAAGGATTTATTTATATTTACATAAAATACACCTATCTTGTTTTAACCTGAACCCTCAGATTAAAAGGCAAGGGAGATGCTTTTGTACGTCACTGTTCTGGTGCTGCTTTTAATTTCCTCACTGTGAAGAAATTGAAAGGACTGATATTTACTCTGTTTCTTTTCTGTATGAATCACTCCAAAGGTCATTAAATACTGAAAGCTTGGCTTGTTGTACTTCTCCACCCCAGCCGATGCCATAAATCCAGTAAATCCATCAGCAAACTGGATATAATCGAACAGCTGCCTTCCAGTCTTGAGGCAGGGGCATGCCCGGGGCAGGGTGCAACTATCCTCAGCAGTCAGAAACATGTGCATGGCTGGGCAGCTGTATTTGCACGGAAAGTACCAAGCATAGGCTTTGCTTCTCCCTGAGACCTGGACAGGATCTATGCGAGTGGTAAACACATTCTCCTTCCCTTTCCTCAGTTCCTAAACATGCTATGCTTTTTCCTTTCCCAGGGATCAAAGGAAGCTGATTATAGTAATGCATTTTCAGGGGAAGAAGTGTTTCTAACAGCAATGGCTCTCAATCAGCCATCATATCCATCTGCTCTGTGCTGTGGGCTGATCGTGCACAGCCCTTGGTGCAAAAAGGGAGATTTGTGAGGTGTCGTTAGGCTCACTGCCTCCTGCTGGGCTGTAGCCACTGGACATGCTGACCCACAGCACGTGGCTTTGATGCTGCCCAGCCTCATGCAGGGACCTGCAGCTGGGATCACAGTTAATGATAACGTCAACTGAAAAAAATACATGAGCTATTTCAGAGGTCTTCCATTCCTTGTCAGAGCATTTTGGTAATAGAAAGGGAATATTTGTTCATTCGCTGTCATGTTCTCCAGGTGATAAAGCAGTGCAAGTGTAGATGTGAGGTACGTATCTTTAGGTGTAAGAAGTGATCTGACATCTATATAACTCCTTGCCCCAAGGCCTCAACTCTTGGTTTTCAAAAATCCCTTGGAAAGAGAGATGGCTGGGAGGGGTGGGTTCAGACTACAGTCTGACTTGTTTGTTAAGATGGTTTCTTTACTGCAGGTTGAACTTCTGCTGCCAACAGCTGTCCTCTTGTACTTATTTTTTTCTTTTTTCCAGCAGGCAGGAGCGTGATACCTTCATGACTGCTCTCTTAAAGCAGTAGCAGGAGTTATAAGTAGGAATGAAATGCCACACTGCACATTCTTCTGTTTTCCTTGGACTTGTTTAAAGTTCTTTATTTTTTCCATTATATTTGATTTGCAAAAGTGCAGGATTTCATTTCTTCTTCTAGTGAAACTGGTATAGGTCAAGTTGTCAGTTACTCCAAGAGGATAATGATAATGATGGCTATTCTAATTGCTTCTTTTTCAAACTTACCAAGTACTGCACCTAAGAGGCAGTTGTATGTACATTTTTTTCCAAATAAACATAAGGATCCATTTTAAATATTAATGCCCTCTTATTTACATTAGCATGAATCAAGAATTATGTGACACTAGTGTTAAGCACCAGAATTAACAAAGGAATGAGCATAAAATCAGAAGGATTTGAACTGAGTTAATTAGCCGCTCTAATATGCAATAACAGATTACTTCAGTGATACTGGTCTTTCATGGGAGAATTTACCAAAAGTTATGATAGTACCTTCCATGAACTAACACTTCCCTCTTTCTTTGCATGTTGTAGCTGCTCATATTTGCTTCTAATATGGTCTGTAACACTTCTAAAACAGGCAGGAGCAGAAATGGCCAAGCTGGGCTCCAAAGGCAGGCTCTGGAACATGAGAAGTCTCTAAACAGGATGTACGTGGGCTGGTTTATCTGCAGACTGGGTGTGTTGCTGAATGTGTGCTGTGCAGGACTTTTACTTTCCTCCTTTCTCATCTGAGTTCTGCCAGCAGTTGTCCTGACCCCTGCAAGCTTGAGGATGGGTACGTGACCTGCTGCCCCCTCGCAGAACACCCTCTTGTCCTGTGTGGGCTGCAGGTGTAGATGTGGGGACACATTGCTCTGGTTACAGGGGAAGAGGGCCCAGGATGGTGGAATCTACCTGGCAGCTCTGGCTGTACTTGTGCTTTGGGCAGCTCCCAGAGAGGCAGGGCATGCAGCAGGGGTGTCCCTGCCATTTTAGTAGGACACTCTTGTTGCCTGCGAGCCTACGACATGAGGTAGCTTTCTGTTTGGCCTCTGCTTAAAACTGTCTCTTTTTGTGGGAACACACACATGTTCAGTGGCTTTTCCTGTATAGTGTGCTTTGTCAATACCATAGTGCTCAGCTGTGTTTTAAGAGTGAGATGAGGTTGATGGCATACTCCAGATTCATCATTGCCCTGGTAACATCAAAATGGTATAAGTTAGTTACTCATTTTCTTCCTACATCAAATCTCTGTCAAGAGCACATTCAAGAAATCACAGAAGGTATTTCTATTATTATTACATGATTATTATTATTATTATTATTATTTTAGTATTTGGCAGTGGCTGGAAATTTGCTGTCCACCCACTTTCCACAACTGGGCAAAAAATATCTCAAAGTAACAGAATGCAAACTAGCTAGTGAATTACAGTGCTGAAATTGTTGAAATTGGAACTGTTCAACAAGTACTGCATAATAAGAAACGAATATATTTTCTTGATCTGGCATTTTTTTATTCAAATTCAAAAGTCCATGAAGGTTAGAATTTTTTGTCAGTGGTTCATCTATGTTCTTCTTATCAGGAGACTTAGAGACTGCTTTGAAAACTCTGGAAGGGTGCTTGCCATACACAGTCATTGCAATAAGATCTGTGGTGGGATCAGGACAAGGGGGAATGGTTTCAAACCAAAGGAAGAGAGATTTAGATTAGATGTGAGGGGGAAGTTTTTTACTGAGAGTGGTAAGGTGAAGGAACAGGCTGCCCAGAGAGGTTGTGGATGCCCCACCCCTGGAGGTGTTCAAGGCTGGGTTGGATGGGGCCTGGGCAATCTGATCTAGTATGTGATCTAGTGGCTGGCAACCCTGCCTGTGGCAGGGGGTTGGAAGTTGATAATCGTTGAGGTCCATTCTAACTCGAACCATTCTATGATCAGAGTCCTCCCTGGCCTGTAAATCAAATAGTAACTATTAAACACTGTCCATGTTTTGTGATTCCACAACCACAGTATTTAGCTGAGGTGAAAGGTGGTAGAAAATGAGAATCATAGAATCATAGAATAACAATGTTGGAAATGACATATAAAATCTAGTCCAACCATCTTCTCATTACCATTCTACCACAAGCACTAAACCATATCTCGCAGCTCCTCATCCAGACACCTCATGAACACTGCCAGGAATGGTCACTCCACGACTTCTCTGGGCAGGCCATTCCAGTGCCTGACCACGCTCTGAGAGAAAGTTTTTCTTCATGTCCAAAATGAGGCCATGTCTACTGTCAAGGAACAAAAAACCAGGGCTGAAAGTCTTTCCCGCTGTTCCCTGTCAAGTTCACTTGCTTTTTTTTTTTGTTTGTTTGTTTTAGCCAAAAATACTGCCACCCTTGAACTTATGAAAGTGCTCTATCAAAATTAAATAGTAATGTGCAGATGTATTAAGCTACTCTAACAAATAAATTCATTATTTCATTAAATGAATCAATACATTACTTTCAGATCTTTGACACAGTAGGGAAAGTACCTTTTTAGGATATAAACTCAAGGAATTTCTTTGTATTGTAACTCAGATTTCTTCCAGAAAATGCTCTTTGTAAAGACGTTCTTGTGAGCAATTTAACATTTTATGTATATTATGAATGCATCAGCTGTATGATTATTAAAACATCTGTATGTGTTTTTGTTTTATGCTGCTAGTTCTATTTCCCTTGAGAATGGGAAGCTGAATAATTTGGTATCAGTAGTGACTCACTTCATCCAGCTGAATGGTGATTAGAGCTTTTACAGCATTTGCATCATAGCAAGATGCTTGTATCAGATTGCACAGCTGAGTATTGCATGCAGCATTGAAGATTAAAATGAGAAATGGACCAAACATGACAATGTAGCTGGGAATGATGTTATAGGTAACTAACTTTGTCCCCATTAATTTGTCTGCAGTAAGTGACAATGATTTGCTAATTTTGCCTTTGCAACAGATAGGAAATGATCTGGTTGCCTTGCAGAAGCAGCAGCCACCTACATAAAAGCAATGTTTACATAAGGAAGTATCTCTAAAAAAGCCAGTTAAATAATATCTCTTCCAAGAATCCCATGAGGCAGCATGTTCTCAGTAACTCTTTGTTCACTGCTGTGTACTGCACAATAGGCTGAAGAGGGAGACTTTTTTTTTCATGAATGGTAAATGGGGAGGGACATAATGTCATCAGATCGTGATGTCAGCCCAATGAATGAAATACTTAGTGTACTGCTTCAGGACCAAGAAAAAACGGACACCATCTCAGTTTGGCTTCCTAGAATAAACTGTCTTTTGCTGACGATGTCATCTTTCCCACGTGTCATGAATAATCCATTTAAATTGGGACTTAAATAACCAGAAGTGAAGAAACCCGTGGAATAGTGCATGTTTGTTTTTTTGTACATCCTCAGAGCTGCTAGTGGAACACCCCTTCGCAGGCGCTCTTAATGGGCTCAGTGAGTTGAAGAGCTATCGCTGTATTTTGTTGCTCTCCATCTAGCCAAATGTTCTGCTTTTGTCTGCAGAATTCTTTGTTGAAGCTACAAGCCATCGAAACGGATCTGTGCTCTGCGTTTCTGCCAACCCAGGAGGAAACTCCCCAGCTGCCAGCACCCAAGGATCCAGCCCCTTCATCAGTCCAAACCAGTGTGCAAGCTGATGGGGCCAGTAGTGGAGGTAAGGGATCGTGTCATGATGTGCTCTCATTTGCAATTATAAAGCAGCCTTGTGACTTGCAGTCTGATCTCAGATTTGCAGTCCTCTGGGAAACCGTGCCGAGCTGAAGCAAAGCACCGTTTCCTGATGCAAATGCTAATGTAAAAAGGGGTGACACTTGTTAAAAGAGCAGAAATTAATGGCTATAGCCTTCTGTCCTTCTGCAAGGGAATCTGACTTTTCAAGTAGATTTTTAGAATCCCGATTCTTTTTAGTTTGTCTGTTATTTATTCAAATGAATTTATGTTTTTGTTTCCTGTGCCTGTATTGTGTGAGATCATCTGCCATATCATGTAATTCTATTTTTGTTGTTCTTTTTGTCAGACCAATATCACTTCATTTCTCCTATTATTGATTTTAGTTTAATGCATCAGCAGAGAGATAGTGAAGGTGAGTTTTACAGCATGTGCATTTAAATCATTAAAGATTCTCTATTATTACTCATCTGGGCAAATTGTGGTGTGCTACCTCTCTCTCTTTCCTCAGTATGGAAACCAGTCCTTGCAAATAAATAGCCCTAAGGCTCTGCACTATTTTTGTCAATTCATAGCTTCTAGTCACAGGGTTGATAGTCGTGATGCTCAGGAGAGGAATCACGGTTTGTGAAAAATAGGTCAAAGGCAATATGACTAATCCATCTCACAGACAAGTGACATGAATACACAAACACTTAAACTGTTGACCATATATGGTTCAAATTAAAGCAGATAGGTAAGTAATTGCTGTGCAATTGACATTTCATGTCTGAATAAATTCTGGGTTCAGAATAACTTACTTCTAAAGCTGTTTGCTTAGAATTTTCAGCAAGAAATAACAGCAAGTTAAATACATACAAAGAGGACAAATTATAGCATTAATATGTACTTAAGTTCAATGTTTGTATTGAAAAAAATTAGGGAAATGATAAGTAGAATCCAAATCATTATAAAGCATATACATACACACAAGTATTGGATGATGTAGCATTCCTGCCATGCATTCTAGAGCTCTGTCACTCTGGCAGTTCAAACTTGTGCTTCAGTTAAACTTCACTTATTTAAATGGATTTTAATGGACTCTCCATGCTTTGCTGTGGTTGATTGAATTTTCTTTATTGAGTTCCTATTTTTTATAGATAGGGCTTGTCTTAATTCTGTCTCTTAAATTACTAATGAAATCTGATTCATTCAGTTTAGGTACAGCTGTCACATGAGACTATTGGCTTTTTCAGCTTGAATTTGGATGGAGGTCCAGAGATTTGCACCAGGCTAGAAATAGACTATTTAGGGGATGCACCATATTCACCATGTGTCTAGTTGTTAGCCTTTGCTTAGTGAATCAGGCAATAGAAAAAAATGTACAATGTGGAAATACATTAATATAAATATGCTTGTGTAATGTGTTTTATAAAGTATATGCATACACATTTATATGTGTGGTTAAATGAAGCCCCAGCAGTTTGTTAAAAAGGCAGGCTACTCCTAATGCAAATTTTAAGGGATCAATGGTAAGTTTTGCTGAGACAAGTCAGCAGTTTCCGTTTGGATATGGAAAAAATTGAATTAGAGCTGGCAAAATAAGTCCATAAAGAATTGCAAGGGGATACTAAGCAAGATTTTTTTAATGGGAAATAAAAAAAAGCAGAATGTAAGTTATACTTCTTGGATATGAGTATACATGTGACTTGAGCAGCAAGCCGCTGCATTCAAAGATGTCACAAATGTTGACACACATTGGAACATAACACATCAGTGTATTTGTTTTTAAGTGTAACAGTTGATGTTGTATTATTATTTTACTTATAGTCTAATATAACACAAATATATGTATTAGACAACCTGTATTATATGATTGAAGTCCGCATTATTAAGCTTACTGCCTATTATATATAAAAAAGAATTGGCTTTAAATCCTCTGATGAGCCCTTGCCTGTGGCAAACTGGACTGAATAGATGACACAGAGCAGATGCATGCTAAGGGGCAACATATGAGCTTGGCTAACTGTGGCTGTTTCCCAGTTTGAGTAAAAATAGAGGCTGAAATTAGGTCACACATGTGTACATACTGGGTCAGTAGTTGTGTTACTCATAAAATAAGTGTCATGTTTAGAATCTACACAGCTCTTGAATCAGGAGAATTGCCTTAAAATGTAATTAAAAGTGGAGCTGGCCATGTAAATGATTAAGTAGTCATGACTTACTGATCACTTCTGGACTGTACATAGCAATTCAGTGCATCTGGTGTATGATAAGGTTGGGTCTAAGACCGTTCTTGTGGTCATAGAAAATGTAATAGAGAAGATTAATTGCCAGAAACTAACAGCACTTTTGTTTGCAGAACAGCTTTTATTCCAGTCTTTATCACTGTATTATCTTGTCTGTGTAAATAACTTCGGGTGGCTGGTACAATATTGTATCTATGCTTCACCCAGATGCCTTTCTGGATCTCTCTTTGGGAGGATTTAGATCTCATACTCTGTTTAGAACTTCTGGGAGTTGCTCCCATATCTTTAAGAGGTGAATTTCACTAATGGAGTAGGAAGTAATTAGAGGAAAGATACTAGGTTAGAATTAATAATCACCTACATTGTCTTCACAGAATCACAGAATTGTAGGGGTTGGAAGGGACCTCCAGAGATCATCGAGTCCAACCCCCCTGCCAAAGCAGGATCATCTTACTGCGACAAAATGCTTAACATGATGATAATTGATGGTGCTGTTGAAGGAAACGAACTTATAGACACAGAAGTCACGTGTAACTTTTGCATGACATACTAAACTGTGATTATGCAGTATACAGTTAGACTTTTGTTATCAGCAAAACAAAAACATTCGAATACTCTCCAATGAAATAATATTTTAGGTTATTCTATTACTTTCTGAATCAACAATTGATTTTTGTGATGAATTCCACTTAGAGCCAATGTGTCCCCAACATCATAGTGCAGAAGTGCAGATTCATAGCTCCAGAATTTATTGGGCAGAGGTGAAATAAAATGTATTACAAAGGTTCCATTAAAATCCTGAAGGAGATACCTACTCACTGTGGGAGTATCACGTCCTATGTAAACGGGTGAAAGTGCAAAGAAAGTGAAGGTTAAAGAACTTTCCTAGATCTGCTAGCTTTTATGGGGAAAAATTCATGTACAGTTGTTTGGTTTTATTTCTGTGCACTTTTAGACTTTTATTTAATGAAAGGATTCTGCAAAATACAGTAGATTGCATGTTATATTGCAGACATGATACTGACTAGAAATGGCACACATGCTGCCTGGAAATAGCAAATGATGTACATTCAAAGGCTGTATGTATGCATGGCTTTAGAGGATAAAATAACGTAGCTGATACCAAGTGCTATGTACTATGGAGACTAACACAGAGGAATCTGGGAAAGAACACACATTCTTTGCTTTAACGTGCTTTTTGTTTTTTGGTGGAGAATTTATGGAAATATGGGGTTTCTCCTTCAAAGTAAAATCTGCTTTCAAACACAGCCATCTGATAATGAAAAATATCAACTAAGCCAGATTATCTTCACCCACTGAGGGTGAGGAGCAAGATTCAGTGGTTCTGCCCATTAATAAACTAGGAATACTTAAGGGAAGATGAACACTTGGCATCCCATAAGGTAGGCTCCATAACATGCCCATCATTTTTCATGTTACTCATGAGCACAATCAGTATGATACAGCTTAGCACTTCCTACATTTTCAGAGCAGAATAAATTATTCTGATTTCTAGCTTAATCATTTTTTAAAAAACAAAGTTTATCTCTTGAGGCAGCTAAGGTAGTTTCCATTTACAGTCAAAGAAGTATTAACATAGTACTGTAAGTGTGACTCTTCAAAGGAGCAGTTACTGCACATTAATTTGAGTAACTACTTTGAATGTGATTGCTTGTTATTTTTATTTTCATTGTGTAGTGTTCTTTAGACTCATATGCATGTTATCTCAAAACCTAATGAAATTAGGAAACTACAAACAACATTTGAGGTTCTTAGCATCAGGAAATACGGTGTTTGTGTTCTGCCTTTCCACTGACCAAAGGAAAAAATGCTACATCACAACACAAATTTTGTTCTGTATATTTATCTTCTGCTTTGGGAATGTGGCTCTCAAAAGCAAATGTTTATAAAAGTCTAATTAATGTTTCTCTTCTGGGAAACTGTCCATCTTTATATTATATTCCATAGTTATAAAGATATACATCCGCTTTCTCCTGTAGACCTTAAAGACACTGTATGTTAAGCCAGTGAGTGCCCTCTGTATTTTCTTACCCTCAGTATAATGTTCAGGGTGCATGTGATACTTTGTTGAAATACTTGCTGTGTTTACTTTGAATACTTGCACTTTTAATCCTTCTATACATACAGGTTTCTGTTTATCTAAGTAGCTGTACCTGATGAATGACCTTCAATACACAGTGTTTTGTGCTTTCTTTCTAGAGCCTTTACCAGCCCACAGAGACTGGCAGAATGACATGGACAGCAGCCCACAAGAACATCGCTCCCTAGGAGCCAGTCGATTGCTGTATCACATTACTGATGGAGACAATCCTCTTTTGTCACCACGCTGCTCTATCTTTAGCCAAAGCCAGAGATTTAATTTAGACCCAGAATCTGCCCCTTCTCCACCAAGTGCTCAACCTTTCATGATGTAAGAAAGTGTATTTCAGTGTATCTGTATTTTAAATTCATTTTGAACAATGTGTGATCTTAGACTCTTCTGGTCTCTCGGTTAGTCCTGTGTTACAAATAAGAAAATTTCACGTTGCAGTGTATTTTGGCATGGTTAATTTGAAATATCAGAAATGGGATCTAGCATTTTTTGCTGATAACTCAGTGTAACATTGTTTGAAGTCTTTGTTAATTATAGTTACACAGTGACAGATTTAAAATTTAGTTAAGTAGCTATTCTGTTAAGTGAACGTAAAGTAGAGAGGGTTATTGAGGTACAAAAATTGACTAGATAAGAGTGTCATAAAATATAAGAGCAATATGTGACCTCCAGAAATCAAGACATGAGTTTCAATCAGAAACAACATCAACTGCATGTAAACAATTATCAAGTCTGTGGACTTGTAATTATAAAAAATTAGAAACTCTTTTTTTGAAAAATATTCAGAAATTCAAAAAATTAATTAGGGAAAGAAGTATATAAAACATATTACCATATTGTGTGAGTACCCTCAAGGAAAAACAATTGCTAGCTTTATAAAACTAAACTCTCTCGAACCTGTGAAAGAACCTATGTGTAGATTCTGTTGTGCTAAGAAAGTGTTCCATGTGTTTGAAAAAAAGACACAGAGCATTTTAGCCATTTTTATAGAGCTACTATGCTTTCGGTTTTGCAGACCAAGAAGTTCTTCTAGATGCAACTGCGAAGAGTGCAAGGAACCCCAAACAGTAGCACAACTTACCAAGCATCTTCAGAGTCTCAAGAGAAAAATTAGGAAGTATGAAGAAAAGTTTGAGCAAGAAAAAAAATACCTGGTAAGAAAATCTCTGAGTAGATAAAGGGAAATACTGCAAAAGGCAGGGAGGAATCCCAGCGTGTTTGGAATTATGCACTACAGTAAGACAAATTCTATTTTTGATAAAATGGGAAAATTATCAGTGAAGGAATAGATTTTATCGTCTTTCAGTGTATTTAGTAGTTCTGAGACTAATTTGTGATTTCTTTGTATTACTTTTATTACAAAACAGGCATCTTCTACACGTGTGAGAAGAATGAGTCACTTAAACATAGCTGATAGGCTTACAAACTGAAGTGATTGAGAAGATGAAAAGCCAATTATTTACTTCATGGTTAAGTCATTTGCTTGGAAACTATCATTCTGCCTTCTTTTACAAATATTCCTTTAAACTTCCAAAACACAGAGCTCTATAGAAGCTGATGGAAAAAATAAGAGAAATATTAATTGTGATATGTTGCTGATGGGGAGACACTGCAGACTATGCAGTCTATGCTAGATCATTGCTCATTATCAAGCTAGTTTGTTTAATGTGAATAATGCAGTATAAACACAAAACATCACAATGCTAAGGATGTGCACAGTATGAAACAGAGAAATTTGTGATGTTATGACTGTGCTAAAATTAAAAATTGAGCAAACTGTAATACTACTTTGTGGTCTCATCAGTGACTGCAAACCTGCACATATGTCAGTGAACTGTCCTATCCTATGGTCATTAGGAACTTCTGTGAGTAAAATTTCATTAATAGCCATCATGCTGTGACCAGGAAAGAAATTATTTCAAAGGTTTTATTTTGCAAAACAGTTTTATAATATAAAATAGCTGAACTTCAGTGTTCCAGTGTAAATTATTTTTAATTTGCAATTTCTAAATGTGAAGGAAGAACTGTTGTAACTCTGTTGCATAGGATTTTTTTTTCCTTCTATTAGTTAAACAGTTCAGCTGAAACATTTGAAGTGCTGTTTCCCAAAAGAATTATTGTTGTAAAGGAGGTAAGGCTTATCCCTACAAGGGTAGAGTGCTTCAGTTGACATCCTACAGCCTGCAACAGCTTTCTCCTTAGGAAAGTGACAAACATCAAGCATTTTATCAGTCCTCTTGAAGTAATTGAAATTACTTATGTAGTTAGTCAAAGGTTTTATTTTTTTTTTTAGGATCAGAACCAAAATACTAAGATCCTTGTAGCACTGTGCCACTGTGAGGAGAGATAAACTACAATCAGCTTGTATTGAGATCAAGCCAAATGGTCTGTGTGACACTATATGTGGAAATATGCACGATAACTGGAAATGTGGACATCTTTAGCATTGTATGAGTGCTTCTATCTGTTCAGGCCTTTTTTATTTTTTTTCTGTTTGACTGTTATTTCTCAAATCTCCATTTTTTCCTCCTTCCTTTGTGCTTTATATTCAGCCTTCACATGGTGACAAGACTTCCAATCCTGAAGTTCTAAAATGGATGAACGATTTGGCCAAAGGTCGTAAGCAGCTCAAAGGTACATAATAGTGTGTCATTTCAATTTAGTGCTGAAGCATTTGGAAGCAGCATGAGTGTACCTGGAATATTTTACAAGTAGTTCTCTATTCTTGGTTCTCTGCTTGTTTTTCCCTAGTGCATGGCAATAAGTCTCCTAATGACAATAAAGATAATAGGTGACATGACTTGCCTTGATTCCTGACAGCAAGGATCAAAGTCAGTTTGATACTCGTAACAAGGCAACAAGGGAGGGGTAAAAGACATCATCCGTCCTTCATAAATACCAACGTTCACGTCAAAGGCAATGTCATTTGAAGTATTTTCCGAGTGTCTGTTTGCTGGTCTAATATAACTACAATTAATGTGAAATAATAAACTACAAAAATTTCTTAAAAGTTTTTTAGCTATTGTACTGACTGAGGTTATGCATCTCTAAAGCTTTTATTTATTTGACTGTAGAAAGAGATCTTTTCCTGATATTTGATTTGGTCCTGGGGGTCACATTTTGCCCTGACTGTCCACTCACAGCTCTATGAACATCTGTGGGTATTTCACATGCTTGCCTTCAGGGAGAATGTAACCAGGATTGATTAATTTTTATTTTCTTAAGGCCATTCATAAATTATCTAAAAGTTCTTTTTCATTATAAATGGACTCACACTACTAATTAAATCCTATTGTTGTATTTTATATCTCATTTGGATAGAGAAGGTGTTATTGCGGGAAAGAATTAAAAACTCATCTTTCAGTACATTTCTTTTGGAAAGTTCTCCATTAAATACTAGACCCTGCACAAGGTCTTGCACCAAAAGTTCTAATCTGCTGCACTATAATAATTGCATGTGAGAAGTCTGGATGCTTTTTTCTTATAGTATCACAGGAAATTTGTTTGCAAATATTTCTCACCTATTTACAAGCAAATAATTTACCTTTCAGAGCTGAAACTCAGAATGTCAGAAGAGCAAAACTGTACCTTCAGAGCAGGCCAAAGAAAGGACAGTAGTGAAAGTGCTGGGACCCCCATAGAGACTAGGACACAGGAGGCCACAAGCATGGAACCAGCTCCTTCAGCAGAAGAAACCATGGACAGTGTATTGAGACAATTAAAGGAGAAAAGACAACACCTCAACATTCCTGAGACTATTAAGGTATTTAACAGGTCTGGTTGTCTCTTACAGTACTTCATCATCTGAAGCAGATATTAGTTGCTGGATGGGTATGCATCCTGTGCTCTCAGACACTGCAGGGCATTTTCTCTCTGACTGCACTGGTGCAGTTTTCTGAAGTGATTTTTCTGTGAAGAGTTGTACAGACAATGAGGTGAAGTTTTTTTTTAAGTAGTGCCAAACACTTTTTGCTCAGAGATGGATGCAAAAAATCATATGCCAGATTTGCCTACTTGAGGTTGTGTGCATGCGAAGAGCATCTTTCATTGTATCAAAAATGATGAAAGGAAATGTAATCCTATCTTGAGTTCACAGAAACTTTGCTGTAATCAGGGACCAAGACTTCTCCCCCATTAAACCACCCACACAGTCTCAGTCTCTCAAAGTGCTCCCTGTGGACTGACTAGGAGGCTTTTCTGGGCCATTGGCTGAAACAGTGACTAAGTCAGTCCTCACTGGTGTAAAAAAGTGTGTTTTGATCAGTCTTCCATTGCAGAATTCAAATGCACAGAGGCCATTAATAGCAGACAGGGTGAATTCGGCTTTGGTTCCTGCAAAGGACCCACAAGGTCCTTCCTAAGTAGACAATAAACCTGCAAGTCTGCTTGGTGGATCTCTCCCAAGTGTTTCTGAAGCAGAGAAATTAGGAACATATGCAAAGTTATTTTGACAATAAAGATCCCCTTTCACCTGAGTAATGCTGAAAACATCTGTCCAGCTGATAGCCCTGCATTAATATCATGTGGGCAGCACAACCATTCAGGCTGCTTTGCCCTCTGATGTTGATACCCTTAATTGTATTGTCTCTGCTCTTCTCCATTCTTGTTTACTTTTCTCAATCTAAGAGAAGATTTAATATCCCATGAAATGCACTTATGTAGTTGGGGACTTAATTATTTTTTCAAATAAATATCTATTTTAAAATTCTGTACATCCATGCTACTGGCACATTTTAGGATCTGTATAAAGCTGTTCCACAGAACATACTGTCCATAAAAGAGCTTATTTTATTTTCATTTTGTGTTGCTTTGTTTCATTTTCCTATTTCTGCTGTCAAATGATGTTGCTATGCTTGGTGCTGTATAGCCAAGAAAGATGACAAATTCTGTTCCCAAAGATACCTGAAATCTCAGTGCAGTCAGAAAGGTCCGGATTCTGGCTGCTGTAGGAAAAGGGGGGAGGATGGGGAGAGGGAGAGAGCCTAAGAGAATGGAGAAAGAACAAAACACTGTACTGTACTAGAATATTTTAACACTAAGAAATTATTTAGGATAGATTTCAATAGCACGAAGTACCCAGCAGATTTTTTTATTTTTATTTTTATTTTTTGTTTTGTTTTTAATTAAAATTTTTTAATTTGTTTTCTTTTCTTGATTCTTAGCAACCTGTTACTGTATTAAAATTAGAACAGTGCAAAACTATGCCGTACTTCTGTAGCTGAGATTTTGAGATCTGCTTAGATGGCTGACTTTTTAATTGCTTCTTTTCATAGGTTACTTTTTGAAAACATGTAAGGAAAATGGTTTCACAAGCATAACTCCTTTGTAAGAAAACACAATAGAACAACAAAAGCATGCAGTCCTGTTTGCATTCTTAAGTTGCAACAGTACAAACTACATGATTATAGTTTTAGTTGTAAAAAAAAAAAGTTGTTCTGCAGAGATCAGCTGATACCAAAGCAGATGTCAGTGAGGAAAACCTATCAAGAAGAACTCTTATGAGTACGAGAGTGAGCTGGCTGCAGGTCCCATTCCATTTTTGATTAATTCTGTACAATGGCAGAGCTGTAATCTAAATTTAATGTCTGCACAAATTAATATTTCTCTCTTTTTTTTTTTTTTTTTTTTAACACTCATTTGTACATCTCAAGCTACTTTTCTTCTGAAAGATCCATCCTTTTTTAGTAAAGGAGATTGAAAATATTTATACAAAGCTGCCATGGAACAGAAGCTTGAAAAGGAATAATAGAAAGTCAAATTGAGCTAGTTCAAAATAATTGTCATTGGATCATTATGCTTAACATTAAAATTATTTTCAGTTATGAGTGCAAGCTTTGTGTTACTGTTGTTAATTTGATGTGCAATATTTAATTTTTTGTATAGAATTTAGATTCTCTACCAGAATGTGAACTGGACTAATAGTAGGCTAAAAAGTAGCTAAATGTTTAAATGTTTTTAGGGTTTTTTTTGTTTTGTTTTGAAGATCTAACTGCTTGGGGCAGTGGTAGTGCTTCCATACAAGGTTGTCTTGTTCTCCTCCAAAACAGAGATGAGAAAATGAGTGTCCTTAAAGACGCAAAGTTGAATGTGACCTGTGAAACTGGGTTTAGTAAACATTTTACTGACTGTTGACAACAGGATTCATAGATCACAGATTTTTTTAATTTTTAGCCCAAAGTTATCAAGTCATTTGGAGGGCTATTCTGTTCTTCAAATATACAACAACCATCCTAATAAAATAGCAGATAAAATGTGAGAAAGGTGGAAGGCACTGTTTAGAATCCTAAACCATCCTGCATGTCTAAAGAAGGCAAACTACAAAACCTGAATAAATTATAGGCCTATTTCTGTTTATCTTTTCATTAGCTATGAAGCAGTATTTCTATGTAGTTAGCACTGAATTTCATGCTGCTGTGCACAGCCCATAATCGGAAGATGTTCAAGATGATTCTGGAGTTTGTCTTTTCTCATTTTGAAATTATCAGCCATATTAAGCCCAGCTGAATACAAACCTGTCTTGAGATTGCTAATGAAACGAGCTAATGAAATAAACCCAAATGCTAAACCCTCTTGAGATTGTTTCTCATGTGTAAAATCAATATTAATGATCATTCTCTGTTTCCTGTTAAGCATTCAGCTGCTCAGGCTTAATAGCTTTTGAAGGAATGAATCTTGTATTAATTGCAGAAATAGCAACAAGCAATACAGTTAGCTGTTTTATAATACTCCTAAATTCTAGTTTAGCAGCTTTTCTTTTAATATGAATAACAAATAATTTCAGAGTGATTAACTCATGCAGACCTTTAAGAACAAGAGGTTTTGCTCTGTTTTTTGCATTTGGACAACAATCAAAAAAGTTTACGCTCCTGCAAAGTTAATAAGAAGGAAAGAGCATTACTTCATCAAGATTTGATACATTTTTTAAAGAAATGGCTAATTATTATTTCTCCATTTTGTCAATAAAAAGCCTGGTCACCAATCTCTTGCAGAAAGGTATCCCCCTACCCCTGCTCCATCATTCTCTGCATTACTTCATTGCAGTGGAGGAGCTCTGCTCCAAACCTTCCAGCAGTTAACTCTAATTGTAGAGATTGTCGTGATCTGGCAGACTCTGTGGAAAATTACATTAGCTTCACGTGCTTCTTGCTGTTCCAACCCAGGCAAAAATATGGACATGTTAAGAACAGATTTTCTTGGGAGGAGGGAGGGAAGGAAAAAAAAAAAAAAAGCAGTTAAATAGTGTGCTCTCTGTACAAAACACAAGCATAGTGGTACATCATCACCAACACTGATAAATCACATTGTTGAGAAATCAACATTTCTCTTTCTGTTAACACTGATTTATATTGTGATTTTTGAGCAAAAATAAAACACTTCACTTGGGAAACATCACTGCAGAAGGAATTCAGCATTTGCAGGGGAGGTGGTGTTCAGCGCAGCAGAGCAATGAGTGTGACTGGGGAAGTAGCCTAGGTCTCCTCCCATTGTTAATTAAGAGCTGCATTTTCTGCAGCTCTTCCATTGCAGTTCCACAAATGCACGCTATCCAACTGCAAATTCCTGCTGCTTATTGTTCCCTTTCATTTCAAAAATAGCACTGTTTTCAGTATGTTCATCTTTTGGAGTGTTTTAATCACTGTATCACAATGGTTAGACGTTTAGAGATTTCATTGTCAGTCATTCTACTCTGTTAATGTGTTGTGTTTGCATAGCTGAAACTTCCTGTTTGTCATCTCTCACCAGCCAATGGCAGTCATGGCTGTCAGGTGATGTCCCTGGTGATGGGAAAAAGGGAAATATAACTCCCATTTTCAAAAAGGTAGAAAGGAAGACATAGGAAACTATAGGATGATAAGCCTCATGTCCATGCCTGGGAAGACCATGGAGGAGATCCTCCTGGAAGAGGTGTTACAGCACATGTGTGACAAGAAGGTGATCCAAGATAGCCAGCGTGGCTTCAACAAGGGCAGATTGTGCGTGACCAATCTGGTGGCCTTCTGTGAAGGAGTTATGACATCGGTGACAAAGGAAGGGCAACTGATGTCAAGGTGTTGCACTTGGGTCAGAACAATCCCAAATAATGTGTACAGACTGAGAGAAAAACTCACTGAGAGCAGACCTGTGAAGAAGGACTTGGGGGTTCTGGTGGAAGAAAAGCCACATATGAGCCAGCAGTGTGCTCTTGCACACTGTATTTCTCACCTAAAAACAGTTTTACTCATTATCTTCGTAGGTTTCATCTGCTCTGCAATAAGCCTTGAGCGGGGAAATACACATCTGTGATCCGTGTAAGACTTAAGTCATATAAAGTTGCATTCTGCTCTTGCTAAATCATTGCCAAGACCCATTCAACATTAGTGTGGACAGAAACAGAATTCATTGCTAATGTTTATTTGGAGAGAACAAAGGATTGAACAAATACCTATCTGTATCCTTGTCATGAAATCCTGGTTCACAATCTTATAAATAACTTTTTAAAATTAGAGTATGACAAAAAAAAAAAAAAAAGGCTTTGGAAAACATCAATCTTCAAAAATGTCTGCTATATTTTGAGAGTATTCATGGATGGCCTGTAAGTATACCATAGGAAGATGAGTAAATTGAAGATTATATAAGTTCTGTATCAAATATTTTTGGACTCATTAATTAAACATATTTAGATTAATTTTCTGTAATCAACATTTCAAACTAATCTTCACATATAAATTTTATTGCTTTATGAATTTGTTTTATATTAAAAACAAAAATGGCAAATTTCCTGTGGCCTTGTCTTTTTCCTCATAAATGGAAGTTGCAGATTTTGATGACAAAGATGGAGGATATGCATCCACATTAGACTTGGCTCATGCATACTGTAGCTTTTCATACCACAACGTATGAAAAATTAGAATGTGTATCAGCTGAAAAAGGTTTACAGAGCACCACTGGAGATGAAATTAAAAAAAAAAAATGACCTGTCATCTTTGTTTTTTTTTTTGTTTTTTTTTTAGTCCCTGACTAAAGACTGAGAATAATAGAGCATGCTTTGTAGCTTGTGGTTTACAGAGAATATTTCTTCCAAAGGTAGAGGCAACTCTAAGAGTCTGAGAAAGAAGATGCTAACTGAATAAAGAAAGAGATGGTCAGTGGTGCTAAGGAGCCATAAAGGAATCTTGGATCTGCCAAACAGCTCTGATTTCAGGTCATAAGGAGCTCAGAGTCAGTCAGGAATTTAAAGCAGGGAAATGGAATACAGGCAAGATTCTTACCTTTTGTTGTTCCTAAAAATAGACAAACAGTCTGCAGACTGTCTGCACAGTTAGACTTTGCCTACTTAGATTATCATGCATCTTAAAGAAGCAAATTTTAGTATTTGTATTTAGATTGACAGTTTCCTGCAGGAAAGGGTTGAAGATTCTGTGTGGATCCTGGAACAGCCGGAGGGTAAGGCCAGCAAGGCCCAAGCTGAGTGTCAAGCACAGGCTCCATGCCCATTTCAGAGGTGGCAGAGCCTAGGAAGGATGCAATGTCTTGGGAAGCTCATGTTCATGTTGTTTTAAGACAAGGGGGATAACAACCCGCAGAGACAGTGAGTATGCAAGCAGAGACATTCCAGTGAATTAGCCAACAGTATAGATGCTTCTCTGCTTTCAAAGAGCTGCGAGAGTGCAGAAAAAAGATTTTTCATAATGCTTGTAGAGAAACTGCTGAAGTGTCAAGAATCACTGCTTCAGATGTGTGACGTAGCAACCAGTGACATGCCATGCCATTTAACAAGTATTATTTCATAACAATATCAAAAGTTGAGTATGTTGAGCTGGGATTGCAAGAGAACAATCAGAATCCCAGCATGCAAATTTATGCTTGCCAAGCATGCCAAGGTTTCTTTTATAAATTATTTTTATGTCTTGCAGTACAGTTCCTGTGAAATACCCTTGCAAGCAAAATAAACATCAGGTCATACTTTTCTAATACTTTTCTCAGCTTTATAGGAGAAAATAAGTAAATAAATTCATTTTTAATTTTGGATGATTATATTTTACTATGATTTTTCCGTAGGTAACTAAACAAGAAAAGAGTCTTATGAAACCTCTTTATGACAGATACAGAATTATCAAGAAACTTCTTGCAACTCCATCATTGATCACAACAATTGTAAGTTGGAAAGAATTCACAGCCGTTGTCAAGATAGCATGCTAAATGTCTTTGATTTGTGCCTGCACATCAACTTGGCAGCAGTAAAACTAATGCTATTTGAATAATCTGCTGATTAGTTAAAACAGGGTGTCAATATTTCAGTTAGATGAAATAAACTGTAAAATTCAACTTCCAACAGTACCAGAGGTCAATAATACAAGGTAATGGTTCCTTAGGCAGTTTCCTTAGTGGTTTCAGTCACCAGGCAAGAGATAAAAGGCTGTCATGTGTTTCCTACTACAATTGATGTAAGCTATATAAAATGTCATTTTCATTTTAGTATTTGTATTTAGATTGACGGTTTCCTGCAGGAAAAGGTTGAAGATTCTGTGTGGATCCTGGCACCAGGAACAGCCGGAGGGTGAGGCCAGCAAGGCCCAAGCTTAGTGTCAAGCACAGGCTCCATGCCCATTTCAGAGGTGGCAGAGCCTAGGAAGGATGCAATGTCTTGGGAAGCTCTTGTTCATATTGTTTTAAGACAGGCGCTATCCTGATGTAGATATCTGCTCTATTTATTGCGAAGGCTTGTATTAAACATATGGCACATAAATATTATTTGTACTAATTTAATAATGCATAAAATTCATGTGACAACTGGTCTATCTGTGAGGAGAGATAGTGGAATCTGGCTATTTTGAAGTTGGCTTGGTCGATTAAAAAAATTAGAAACTACTATCTTGATAGATGTTAATAGAGCTTTAGATTTCTTTGAAAATCCCAGTTGAAATCTTTGTACATGTGCTCACAGATATTTAATTTGAAAATTAACTTAAAGGTCTCTTGTGTTAGTTGTGTCTAGTCTTGCTGCATAGAATTTCATGTTTAAGCACTCAATTTAACAGCCCAGCTTTTCTTTTGAGGATGAAGGAACGTGGGGAAGACAGCAATATCCCTCTGTTTTGGTAGTTCACATTTGTAGTTATAAAACATATGTAAAATCTCTACCTATCTACAGTGCATGTTACAGTTATAATTTCCAGGCATAATAAACGCATTAAATAGTAAATAAGAGGAGTACAAGTTCCAGCAGTGCTTGCATAAACACAGAATGTTCTCTAAATCTTCTCAACTTGCAAATGCTTTTGAGTAAACAGAAAATTGATATTTGGAGCTACTCAGAAACAGGCCTGGATTCTGTACTGTTGAGTTATGAACAGTACCCAGTATACCAGCAAGTCCCGTAAGAGTGCTCATGATTGGTTTCAAATAGACCTGGGTAGAATTTGCAACATCTGCAATCTTTTAGTCGATGCATCCAGGAAATTACAGCCTAATTCTTTGTGTTGTCATCTTAATAACTGTTACGTTGTTTTGTAAATGACTAATTTTATCATGCTTTACATTTTACAAGCAGGAAGAAGAAGACTCAGATGAAGACCATTCTCAAAGCAGCCATGAGTTATCATCTGGTCCAATATCTTGCCTCCCTATTGATGAGCACCTGTGTTACTCTCAGGAGGAGAGTGAGCCTGCACATGTCTCACCTCCAAATGAAAAGAAAACTTTAAGACAAACAGCCTTATCTATGTCCAATTTACATGAGGCAACCATGTGAGTTCTGTCTTTTTGTCACAGATATTTTGAAATGCTTTGCATAGGCTTTATAAATGAAGCTTTATAAATGAAGTAAATGCATGATCCATACCTACTAGATAGGAAAAAGAAATATGCGTTACGCGGCCTTGAGAAGGCCATTCAGCGTGTGTAAACTAATTTTATTCCTTGCAGAAGTGTATTTAGTAGTGTCTGGATGCCCTGAAATGTTCACAGTGCCTTCCTGCCCTCCATTAAAAACAAAACATAAGCATCACCAGATTTGTATTTAAAAATTCCAGGTTGCATGAGACAGGAGGTCTCTAGATACACATGGGCTGTTATCAATCATAGCTTATGGGATATTTTTCTTGTGTTTTCACTGATGTATCTGTGATGCAGAAATGAAGCTTACTAGGCACTACCAAAATGGAGAGAAATGTAAAGAAAAAGTCTTTTTCTATGTAACAGAACTATGCATTCAGCTCTGTGTTCAAATGCTGTGATTCATTTCTTCATGTTGTGTTCTTACAAAAAAAATTGTAGGGATATAGCATAACTAAGAAATTTGTTACTCTGATTAAAAAAACCCAAAACCTTATTGTCCAAATAATACCTTCTAAAATATGTCCTTCAAAAAATTAAGAAAAAAAAAGTTGATTCTGGGTACCATTAGCAGTTCCTCTGAATCCCTGTAATATTTAAGAACAGCTGCTTTTCAGTGCAGGGCTTGGCTGTGTGACTTGATTTTGCAGTCAGTCACTGAGCCCTGCCCAAGCAGGACTGAAACCAGTAACAAGCTCTAATCCTGAAGATTTTTCTTACCATGTTGTCCAGTCTCTACCTTTATTAGATGAGCAAGACCTAGCACTAGTAAACAGGAAGGAACATAACTGTTCAATCACATATGCTTCTACAACCGCATATAACTGATATGTTGTCATGCCTTGAGGCACTGAGATGAACACCTGCCATGGCCCACAGCAGGGCCTGACCATTATCCCAAACCATGGTTTTTGCAGTCAGTCAAGGCAGGTGGGGTATCATGGTCTTGTCTCTGTTTTACAGGCCTGTTCTGCTTGAACATCTCCGAGAAACAAGAGCAGACAAGAAAAGGCTTCGCAAAGCTTTAAGAGAGTTTGAAGAACAATTCTATAAGCAGACAGGAAGGTAAATAACCAACTTGACAAATGCCCTTCCCCTTTTCCTCTTTGGGAACCCATGTAGGTGCATTTGTTTCTATGAGAGCAGGTACTCTTACATGGGAAGACCAAAGGAGCTGCAGTCCGGGACACGAAGATAACATGGAGGTGCCTGGTCTCTGTGAAGATGACCAGACCCTCGCTAAGCTCCTCTGGGATGTGGGAATCCCTGATGACCTTCTACATCTGAGATCTTCCCAGAACATGCTTGTAATGGGCATAAACTGTCCAGTGTTTCACCGCAGGATCTTTCCTGAGGCACAGAGAATCTTGCTAATGCTCTTTCTGAAGTTGTCAACCTTCAGGGACTAAACGGAGCAGTTTGACAGTATCTAAAAGGGCAGATATAAAAACTGAAACCATTGTTTTCTTCATTCAGAAATATTAGATACTTTTCACTCTGTATTTATATTCCTCCTATCATTTAACGCACTTGTTTGCTGAAAACTGCAGGGATATGTGCTGGTAGCATTTTTCAAAGTGCTGCCTAATAACTTTTCTGCATATTTCAGAATTAAGTAATTACAATTGCATAGCTAACGATAAAGAAAATTTCCTGATGTATATGAAAAGTTTGTTAACATTTAAAATCCAATTCCTTTCATTTCTATTAGGTTTTTTTTCTTTCCTTTGACATTATCTTTAGTTGCCTACTGTTAGGAAAAAATATATATATTTTTGTGACTCCAACCTCTTTAGTTACTGCAAAATTAATTTTAAAGACTCTTTCTCCTTTAATCCATAAAAGTGATTGTACTTCTGCTTGCTTTTTATAGGAGTCCTCTAAAGGAAGATCGTGTACCTATGGCAGAGGAATACTCAGAATACAAGCACACAAAAGCCAAAATCAGGCTCATAGAAGTTCTCATCAGTAAGCATGATGTTTCCAAAACAATTTGAAATCAGTACAATGCAGTGGTATCATTCTCTAGCAAATCAAACAAACAATAATGGAAAAACAAAGTGGTAGTTTTAGAGGTCTTGGTCAGCTGCACAATTATTTGACATGCTGAGATCTTTTGATGCACTTTACCAATTCTGAAAGCGGGAATGAGGGAGGACAGCAATATATGAGAATATTAAGAATGGGTGAGTGAACTATATATAGAATATATATATATTTTTTCACTTTAAAGCCTTGAAGTGCACTGTGAGAATGTTAGAAATTAAAAGGACACTGAAGTATTGTTGACTCTGTTTGACTTGTTCCTAGGTTTAAAAAGTGTGAGGAAATGTCTCCAGGTTATTAGTACATCTTAGAATGCACTAACGTACCACATGCTTTTATTTTTTTTTTAAACAGAATTAACATGCAGTATAAATAAAACTATAACTATTGTTTCTCAACGTGCTGATTGGTTCACTAGATTAAAAGAAACACAAGCAAGTAAGTTTAAAACAATAAATTCTGTCTTTCAAGACGGAGTTGCCACTTAATTCCAGTACATTCAAGGGAAAAAAATTGACAGGATTTAGAGGAAGGAGGCATGACTGCCAAATGGAATTACTGTATTTCAGAAATAAGAGAAAGATTTGGCAAAACAAAACATTTGAAGTTTACCAGGAAGAGATTTAGCAAACGTACTGGATGCTGTCTTTTTCATTATGGTTCACAGGACTTGGCTTATGGTACGTAAAATTGGGTAAATAGACCAACTATATGCTAATTTTTATTTCCATACTGAATTTCTGCACTTTATTTTGCCTGATGCTATGATGTTTGCTTTTCTGATTACCAAAGCTTGTTTAGAAGCATGCACTTTGTACAATGTCAAGTTATTTATTTCCTGTGTCATACAAATTGCCACATATATATAAAGACTAGAGTATTGCATTATGCTAAGATATTTTGGATAGATAAAGTAAAGTACCTGGCATATAATTGAGTGTCACAGTTATCTGATGAGGAACACTAGACTTCTTGTTTACTATAAAAAAGATTATAAAGAAGATATTTTTCCATTCAAATGATACATCTTTCTTAACTTTCAGAGCACCAGACTTTGTAATATTAAGGAAATTTTCCCTCTATTTGTGATAAGTCGTTGGTGTGAATTGTTACCAGAAGGATTATCAGTGTTTTTGTACTAGAAATGAAAAGCAGGGATTCTGGGAAATACTTAGCCCAGGCATAAAGAAAGGAAGAATGAGAGAAGAAAAACAGGGATGTGCGTAAGTTGAAACGTGTTTTGTGTTTTGGTTTAACTGTCATTTTGTATTGACCATATATTATAAGGAACCTGTTTTATACCTATCTTGGTAAGAAATTTTTCATTTTATAAAGCCTATTATGTGCCAACCACGTTCGTATTTATATTGTATGTGATGATGGGGCATGTTTTTGAAGACGTACACATTTTCAAGTAGCTTGGAGGAAAAAGTATGATGACTATAAAAGGACGTTTTTATTTCTCAGAAGTTTGTTATTTCAGTGTACCAATTTAATAATTTGTAACTCAAATTTTATGAATCAGAATGGTCTCCTTCATAAATCTGTTTTAATTAAAGTCATCTAGAGCAACAGGAACAGATACAGAGCTATTTGAAGTTTACAAACTACATCTTTGATAAGGGAAAATGATTTCATGACATATGTATACAATTGATATTAAAACGTAATCTATATATTCTATATGATTGTATAATATTTTATACAACAGTACAAATAAAATATTTTTCTATTATATTTATTATGTCAAGACACAATTTCTGTTTTCAGTTAGCTAATATAAATAACATAAATAACACTGTCAAACAACACGTTGGAAGTGCTGACATTTCTAGGCTTTGAAATCATGCTGCAATTACAACCTTTCATGCTGTTTGGAGTTATCCCGGTATTTGTTCAGTAGTTAAAATGAATGCATATTTAAACACCATTTATAAGCCGTTATTTTTATTTTGCTAAAGCAGTTTATATAGGATTTTGTTATGTTTGGCAAGAAACAGAAAACAATTTTTGCAGCATCTAAGTATAAATGGTTGCCAGAGAAAAAATAATCCAGGACTTCTAATCATTTAAAGCATTGGAGGAACAGAAGGGAAAGAGAGGGAGAAGAAATACTAAAAAGACTAGTTGGAGAGTTTGGAGACTCATGTTTGCTCTTTGTGACAGCGGCATGTACATGCTTCTGACAAAACCAGCTGACTATGGAAATGGACAACAGAGGTTGGAAGGCTCCTAAGGAACAAGGGAAGTTTTAACGTCCAACACTGATATTGCAGGTCTTGCAGCTGGGATCTTTCTTTGCATTTGCAGTAGACAAGCTCATTAGTTGGTGACCAGTAATTTCTGCAACTGTGCCGAGGGAGAGATCCACAGGATCAGTGTAAATTACTTCCAGAATAACATCCTGGGCATGATGGTAAACCATTACTCCATCTTCTTCATCACAGGTCAGAAATTTATTATCTTTTATATTTAGCTGAGGAAGGCGCTGCTTACAGAATTCATCTCCTGGTGACCCGACAGGGGCAATAACAAGAATGACGTAGTGGTAAGCTGTGTACATGCAGTAGAAGTCTCCAAAGTACAAGTTAGTATTTGGGTTGAAGAGTTTTTCAGCTGCAATCTCAAACCTGTATCTTCCATAAGGTGAATCTTGGGGTGGTTTCCCAGTGTTAAACTCAGTGTTGCAGCTAAAGAAGATGCCTTCCAACTTCCCACTGATCGGAGAGCCATGGCTGCCACTGTTATCCTTAACAGAAGGCTGCATAGCATTCCCATGGTGCTCTCTACAAATGGATGATGGGTATTGTTTATTTAATAACATTACAAGAATGGTAAGTTAGGACTCATTTACTTCATTCTGTTTTGCAACAGTACTGAAGGAACACAAAGGAAAATCATTAGAACTCTGAGAACTCTGGTTATTGTCATGATCCTAGGACCAAGGAAATCAAGTGAAGCCAGATTCGCTCAGGTGGAGTAAATCCTCCTCGAGGAGAAAAAAGCCCTTCTTTTTCACTCTGTCAGCTGAGAGCTGTGGCTCTTAGGTCAGTGCAAAGAATAGCACAAACAAAAAGCCTCCAAAGCACTGATATATCTCTAATTAGCTGATTTTTTCGTAACAATGTAAGAAAACTCCTAATCAACACAGAAATGCCTCCAAGTCTGATTTTGTTGTTATTTCTAACTTTCTCAGAAGCATATCTTTATTTGACTCAGATTTCAAAGACTTTCTCAGCCATTTCAATAATTATTGTCTCAAGCCCTATCTCACAAGACAGTGGTGGTTGGTGGATTTTTTTTGTGGGCGTGGAGAGTGCAAGGGGAGGGGGGTACAGTTGGCATATTACAACTGAAATGAATGCAAAAGGGAAATAAACAATCAGCTTGAATAACCACCATCTCTGCAACCTCAGGAAAAGGCTTGCAGTTTCATTTCTGTGGCAAGATACTGACATCCAGTGGCCAGTTACACTATTTATAGGTCACTCATCCCACGGATCTGAGATGCTTTGTTGTGCTTCCACCTCAAGGAAGCAGCAGCAACGTGATACTTAAAAAAAACACAACAACAAAAAGCAACCTTACACTTAGGGGTTGCTGCTTTAGCATAGTGACAGTTGCTTGTTAGCTATTGCTACTACTTGTGCTACTCTATAAGCTTTTTCAATCTTGTTTAATAGTTATGAAACCACAGAGGCCATTGGAGGGAATGGTGTGACAATCATTTGGTTAGGGTTTACAACACAACGTTCAGAAGGTCTGGCCTAGTATATTTCTGATCAAAGACTGTTGTTGGAATTACAGGTATCCTAGCTTCATACTGACCTAGCAAAAGTCAGCCTCTCTTCTCTAACACACTAATAGGAGGAGAACAAATTCTGTTTCTCCTTGTATTAAACTAGCAATTTTCAAAGCTCTGTGAACACAAAAGGATGTGATACACAAAAGCACTGTGATACACAGCTGAAAGTAAAACTGAATGAGAATCAGAAACAGCACAGGCTGTTTCTCTTTTGTGGTATCTAGTTCAGCATGTCACCAGAGATACAGTAGGTCCTCAAAAAGACCTGAGAATGCAAGCCATTCTTTATCTCCATGGAGTTAACAGTTCTATCACTATGTGCAACAAAGTAATTCCTGGGAGTGGACTTCATACTCTTCAATATATGAGACAATCCTGGAGTCCCCTTCATACTCATGACTACAAATCTGGAACATTTCCAAGGCTGGTGTAGTCTGCGCTTTCAAGGTGGACATAGTGGGTATTTTAGTTCTGTACAGTATGATACACACACATACATACAGCTGGAATCACGTGGCACAAAAGCAGCCCCAGCTCCCTCGTTATACACCAAAGAATCATCATCAGTCCTGAAACAGAGGTTGTCACACTGTTTACCTCTCATCCACATTCTTCTAAGAGCAGATTACCGCTGTGTGGTGGCCGTTCCTGCTCAGCCAATACATGGACTTTGACTCCTTCCATTGAAAAGTCTTTTCTGCTTGTGCATGCAAAAATCAAACTGGGTCTCCATGCAGGAATAAGGAACCTATCTCCACCTATCCCCTGTATTTATTCCAACTGAACAATGGTATTTTGAGATTGTCTAAACATCCCTCCTCCTCGAGTAAGCATGATCTGTAAATTTTGGTCTGGATTTCAGAACCCCATTTACTCCATCTGGGCATAAAAATGTATGCAGAGAGCAAATATGTGAGATAGGTGTTTGTGTACACGTAGGAGTTCATATCTAACTATACATACAATTTCTACTATTACATAGCTCACTCTGAAGCTCTTAATACAAGAGCAGAATTTGGTTTTTAAACGCTTTGCTATGAAAACACAGGGACTTCAGCAAGGGTGGGGACTCTGAATACTTACTTAAGTTTCTGCTCTAAACCACAGACTTTTATTTCCTAATTTAAGTGCCAAGCCAGGCAGGGTGGAAGAAATGAGTTACCTTTTATTTTTTCCTCTGAACAGGCGCATATTTTGCTCCAGCTTTAGCACAGCTACTTCCATTTACAAATTTTCATTACTACTTTAATTTGCCAAACAATTTTGCATATGTTTACATTCTTACCTGATATAATCGAAGTATTCTTTGTGCTGATTCCGATAAAATACAGACAGTTTAAGCATACGGCCTGCAATCACTTCAGCTTTTTCCAAAAGCTGTGTTAAGTGAACTTTTGAATAATCTAAGAAGAAAAGACAATCTGCTAGTATGAGAGAGGAAAAAAACCCATAACGCTCTCCAAAAACTCCATACATAATTGGGAATTGAGCGTCAGCAACATACATCGTGTAGCAGCTATAGATAACTATCAAGTCCAGCACTATTTTCCAGCAGCAGCAAGAGACAAATAGCAGGAGCATGCATGCTTGATCCTCCCTACAAATACCTTGCAAGCTTCTAGTCGCTTCCATTTGGGGATCAACTGTGTTAGAGTGAATATATAACTGGGAAATGCAGAAGAGCTGAGAATTGCCCTAATTTCTGACAGAATTGTTTGATGATCTGTTTGCAAACTAATTAGTAGTCATTTAACTAAAAATAGATTGCTTAGGACCCAGCCTCAGCTGCATCTCAACAAACATAGACTTCACGGAGAGCATGAGTCAGCTCTCAACTTTCATGCAGGCAGACATGTTTGTATTGGGTGGCCCTTATCCAACAGAAGGCACATATAGATCAACAATAGGCTGAAGGTATGTGTACTTGTCCTCAAGACAGGTTAGTGGTGGTGCTTAGGCTCTGGAGAATGCAGAGAAATGGGAGCAGCAGAATGTCTTGAACAATCTGCCTGTTAGCAAGCTGCCACTGTCTTTTCTCCAAAAGGGTTTGTAGCCAGTGAGGGGCACACAAATGACCCTGCTCCACTTTGGTTCACCAGTCTCCTTGCCTAGTTTGGCAGAAGCAATGGTACCAGGTACAGCACTTCAATGCATCTAAGCTATTGTAGAACAGAAGGGCACTGCAGCTTCCTTCTTTCTCTCATTAATACACCAATCCTGAGTGCATGCAGAGGCTAAAAGCAAGCATTCACAGTTTCCAAAGTGTAAATACTACAAGCCCACCAGGCTACGTCATACTGGTAGATGGCAAATCCATTCATGCAGCAAAGCTAGTCTTAATTGAATATGTCCTATGGTGTATGTTTTCTCAGCAACATTACCTGCTGTGCAAAACTCAATGATTTCACTCCACTCAGAAACAACATAATCGCCATCAACTTGCTTCGACGCAGTCTGCACTGCTACTGTGTATTCTGTTCTTGGGCTCAAGAACCAGTGCCCACGGACTGTCATAGGCAAAGGAACAGCTTTGGCCACCAATTTAGTGGGTACATCCTGATGGGAACAAGAAAACAAAACAACACAAGAATTCAGCACAGCAACCAAGCCAACCCACCATGCCTTTGTCGTCTTCCTAACATAACCCCCAGCCCTCATTGGGCTCTTCTGTGTAAATACTAGCTACTTCTCACAGTCCATTAGTGCTGTGAAGTTAACAGGATGGCCTAGGGCAGTGCTCTAAGATCTGCTTAAGTATGCAAGCAGAGCATAAGGACATCTTAAATTAAGAGCTTCTTGTGCTCTCATTGCCAAGCTTTTCTTTCAGTCAGTGTAACCAAACAATTCCTGCCATCGTCAATCAGTCTACCTATATTGCTGCTGTTGGTGTCTTCCAACTTCAACAGAGAAAAATAAAACACTGCAGTATAACTTTGTGCATTCTACGTATTTCAAATTAATCTTACATACAGAGAATGTCAGAGACAAACCAAACATACCAGCTAGATGTTCTGTGTTCACCATTGCACCTCTTGCTTCTCCCTGCATTTCGAATTTCTGTTTTGCTCTGTCAGTGCACAGCATGACAGAGCAAAATAGAAGTATAGTTGCTTGTTGTTGAAACAGTTTCTGTAGCACCAAAGCCTGCAGCTCAGACCACCAAGGGGAAGAACAAATGATGCCTATTCTTGACAATTTGTCAGCCACCACAGAACAGGAAAATGCCTGGCTGCCATATGACAAGTAAACATTTTAGATAACGTATGTAACTTTCCACATAAATGCTAGTCAATAATTGTCCACCTACAAATACTAGTAAAGCAGGTCTTTGAGGAGAAAAAGGATTGCTCATGATCTGTAGAAACAAAACCTGAGAGATTTATTTTTGCTTATTTCCTAGTACAGAAAAAATATTTTTCTTTTATAATTTTTCCTTCAGTTTCTGTACTAAGAAACTGTAAAGCTAGCAGCTTATTATATTACAGGAAGTGAAATGTGATTGGGAAGTGTAAGATTATGTTATTTTGATTTCTTTTTGAGTTAATTCTCAAAATAACTTACATCTTGGAGGAAATTGTAAAGAACTCAGATCTGTAAACTGAAATAAATGTTAAAAAAAATCACAGGGACAAAGAAATAAAAATCCCCCAGTGATTTTTAAAGTTACTACCCTCAAACTACACTGTAAAAGCACCCCACTGGACTGCGTCTACCAATGCTAATGCAGTCGGCAGCTGCTACAGTTACCAGCCATTATTCTTCTTGCTGCCTTTACTTTGGCTGCCATAAAAACCACCTCCACCTGAAGTCTAGTGTCTGTGCCTATAATAAAGTGGTGGTTTAATTTTGTCAGTGTTCGAACAACTTTAAAGCCTTACTACTACCACGCCTCAAAGCCCTGCCTCCCATCTGTGCACCAAGAAGCTCTTCCAACTGCATCAGAAGAAGCCAGAGCTGCAATATTACTTAGAGGGGTTTCTCTCTTGCGTGGCTGGGTGGGGAAAATGCAAGGGGGGCACAGGCAGAAGGGAGGAATTTGCTTTTCGTAACATTGTTATTCCTCTTTTTAATTTGTTATTCATTTTATAAGCAAAACTTAGAAAGTTCTCTGGGCATTCTCCATGTCTTCCTTCCATCTCTTTTCTGTTTGTAGAATCATAGAGTATCCTGCATTAGAAGGAACCCACAAGGACCATGAATGCAACTCCTGATTCCACAGAGGACCACCCAAAATTCAAGCCCTATGTCTGAGAGTGCTGTCCAAATGCCCCTCGAACTTGGACAGCACGATGCTGTGACCACTGCCCTGTGGATCCTGTTCCACAGATCCCTTTCCACAGAGCTGCTCTCCAGCCTCTCTAGCTCCCTCAGTAAGGCCTCTCTACCCTTGAGAGAGTCAACAGCTCCTCCCAATTTAGTGTTATCTGCAAACTTATTTAGTATAACTTCAATTCCTGCATCCAAGTCACTGATGAAAACTGTAAAGAAAATTGGCCCTAAAATGAAGCTCTGTAGACCACCACCAGTGAATGGCCACCAGTGTGATGTAACCTCATTTGCTATAATCCTTTGAGCCTGACCCATCAGCCAATTGCTCACTCACTGCACTATGTATTTGTTTAGCTGTATGCTGGACATTTTTTCCAGGAGGATACTGTGAGAAACGGTATGGAAAATTTGCTGAAATCCAGGAACATTACATCAGCTCACTTTTCTTGAAAAATTACATGGGTAATCTTGTCATAAAAAGAGATTAAATTTGTTAAAGAGGTCTTTCCCCTTGTGTACCTGTGTTGGCTGTGATCAATGATAGCACTGTCTTTCAGGTGTTCTTCAGTGACTTCTAAAGAAAAAAATAATAATCTTTTCCATAATTTTACCAGATGTAAGAATAACAGGCCTGTAATTACCAGGGTCTTCTTTCTTGCCCTTCTTGAAAACTGGGATGTTTGCCAGCTTCCAGCTGACTGAAACTCTCCAGATTCCCAAGTACTGAAAAATAATTGAAAGAGGTCTTGCAATGACATCAGCCAGGTCTTTGAGTAACCTGGGGAGAACCTCACTGTGCGCCATAGACTTTGGCATATCCAGCTGGAGCAACAAATCCTGCACAAGTTTGAGGTTGGCTGGGAGTGTATCATTACTGCAGTCACAGCCCATCCAAGAGTCCCAAGGTCCATCACTGGTGTAGAAGACAAAGGCGAAGAATGCATTAAGCAGCTGTTTTGTCTGCATGCCTATTTGTGAAATGACCAATCTCTCTATTCCTGGCTGAGGCTCCAAAGAAGAGCAATGGAGGTTACATGCCTCCTCAGTGCAGCTCAGTGACAGTCAGGAACCTAGAGTTTCAGATGACTGCTCAACCACCAATTCCTAAATACACAACAATAAAGGTACCTAGGCTACAATAACAACAACCTGCAAGCCCTGAATGACTAAGCAGCAAGGTAAACCACTCACACTACCTCAGTCCTTTTTGGGAACAGAATCCTGTTCTGTAGTTCCTCTTCCATGCCAAAGAAGCAGATTTCAATTTTAAGTCTTCTCCCCTTTCATCTTACCCCCCCTTTGCCAAGGCTGCTCATGTGACACAATGCAGGAATTGAAGACTCCATTCTTGTCCTAGTTTTGCTGTACGTCTCAGCCTCATTCCTCTACTTTTCATGTGAGAATAATCATACTTCAATATTTAAAAAAAAAAGTGAAAACGCATACAAATTGCATTGAGAAAAAGACAAAGTCTTAATAGAATTCTAGAACTTACATACTACTACAGATTTCCTCCTTCCTAACTATGATGTCAGTTGTCATAAATAATAAAACAATATGCACTCTAAACGAGCTGAATATGTATTCACCAATAGAGAAAGCATTGAAAGGATAAAATATCAGTGTAGCTCTCCCAGGTACACACGGTTTGCCAAGGTTGTTGGTGCCTTAGCAAATCTTATCTTCTAGGGATCTTGCTAAGACTTTTTTTTTTTAATTTGCAGATGGTTGAGGCTTTTAATTTCCTCCTCCATTTCATTCCATATTTCTGTAAAACATCTCAGTATTTGAACTATTTTGAGATTGAAGCAATTTTTTCTGGACTTGATAACAACAGACTCAGCAATATATTCAATAACTCTCTGCATTAGTGCTTTGAGGAAAGAGGCCAAATGAATATTTGGGTCACAGTACTGAACACTACAAACTGAGATTGCTGGAAGCCTTCCTAGAAGTGCATTAGAATTTTTGACTCTTCTGTTGAAACAACATGTGTTGCTCTCATCAGTCTGTCACTGATTATGGAGAAGTACAGAATACATGAATTGTTTAAATAATGACTAAGAACTAGTCAGGAATAAAAATGCCTACCTTAAAATAAATTGTATGGATTAAAAAAACTGTTTAAGTTCCAAATGAGATGGAAGAGGTAATATTCAGTTCCCCACGAAACAAATGTGTTTGCATGTACATGCATGTACAGTAGAGGCATTGATGTTCTGAGTAAAAAAAATACTGTCAATCAGATTCACTTAAACTCACCTTGGCCAGATGTCCATTACCTGCTTCTGTAAGGTTAACGATACACCAAGATTCATCTACTTAAAGCCACATATGTCTGCCTTGATTTTTAAATGAAAATTACCTTGTGTTTGAATTTATTGGAATTCTTGTTCTCTTTCTTGTTGAGATCAATGAAGTAATGAGTGATGCGGTCCTTGGATTTAGAATCCATGTCCCAAGAAATCTTGAAGGAATCGCACGTGATGTTACTTATTTTGATGTTGTGTGGGACTGGAAGTTCTTCCATCTCTGCAATCCCACTGTCTTGTGATTTATTCCCTGCATAAAAAATAAGCATGATTTAAGTTATGTTAGTTAGTTAACTTAAAGGTCTTCTTAATATCTGTTTTCTGTGGCCCAATATGATGACAACTCTGAACAGCCTTTCACAAAATTTCATAGTTAGTACTTAGAAGTAAGGCACAGTTACAGAAACCTCAATTTCAATGATTAGAAATATTGAATAAGTACTAATAACACAAAGTGGGCTTCACAGGCTGCTCAGTATCGTAACTACTGTGTGTGCAGTTATGCTCTGAGAATGAAAAATATCTGAAGCCTTCTGGTGCTTCAATAGTTAAGATGCCAGTGTAGTCTACAGTTAACATAATGGCCCTATCCATACTTGTCAGAGAAATAAAGACAAACAGAAATCACTCTCATTCTGAAAGCATTTTTCAAGCACAAAGTAAAACCAATCTCTTCAAGGTATATAGATGGTGCGTGCACATACACACGCATAAAATACTTCCCCTCACAATCAAACAATCAACAAACAAACAATGGTCCTTTTAGTGAGCCATAGTAAAGAGGACATATACACTGGTGTCACTTTCCTGTCTGTTTTCCCTCTATTTATTTGCCCAGTTGATACACATGGCAGTTTCTTTGGGCTTTACAGATTTCAAACTTAAGTCCTCCTTAGTTCCAGGGCAACCTTGTTGCAGAGCACAAAATGAGTACTAAAACACAGAAACGCTAGGGGGATTTGCACTGCATCAGACTTGAGTCAAAGGTGAATGAATAGAAAAGGAGAAGATAACAGAGAAATAAACAGGTAAAAAAAAAAAAGGAAAAAAACAGAGAAGATGTAAGCAGAGGAGTGAAGAATCAAGACAAAATAACCAAATCAAACAAAAACCCGACCAAACAACAAACCAAATCTTTAGATAAGAATAGAAAGAAATAAAGGAGAAAAAGAAGATTAAAGTCTACATAAAACAGAGAGGAAAATTCCCAAATCACATCCAGAAGAGAAAGGCAGAAAGATCATGCAGCTGCACTGCCTGCAAGAGCGGTCAGAAATCCTAGTTATCAGAGAAAGCATCCTGGTCAAGTAAAATATATGGTTTAGTGTTTTTACCTCCATGAGAATTCAGCAGGAAGAAAACAGCATCATTTTCTTTTGTAAGTGTTTTGTATTTGAAAAATGACTGAAATCTCTGCCAGGTACACACTAAAAATGCTACATGTGATTGCTCTTCCAGGAGAAGATGGAGGTGATTCTGCTGAGGTTCTCACACCTCCTGGTGAACTGGTTGAACTCAAGACTCCAGAGCAACAAATAACAAAATAAGGATATGAGCGCATATACAGCCATATATATCCATGATATGTTAATGTGCAACTTCTCTTCTTCAAAGGGAGCTTCTATATTCTATATTGATGGGCTCTGACCATATAAATGGTCACGATAGTTTAAACTTCAGGAGGTAAGCAAAGCAGCACTGATTGCAAACAAAGTAACAAATGAGAAAGGATTACAGAGCATATTAATGATTGTCAAAGAGCAAAAGAACACCTGTAAATGGAAACATCTCATACACACGTTTAGATATTTGTGTTCCTGATTCTTTTACTTCCTCCTTTACTTAAGAAGTGAATAGTTTGAGTACGTGTTTACTGAAAAAAAATCTCCAAATATTTTTAATACATCTGAGAAAACAAAAACACTTGCATTACTAAGTGATAAGCAATCACCTTAAAGATTTTGAAATACAAAGAGTACGAACAGATTATGAAATAAATATCTCTGAATCATCAGCAAGCAGAATTCCAGTTTCCCTTTTATTTAGAATATGAAGTATCTGCAATACTTGCCATGCATGAATATATTTTGATACCTGTTTGTGTAGTTCTGAGTGTCAAAATGCACTGAATTGACACACAGCATTGGAAACTGCTAATGACCGTGCACGCAGGTATTGGATCAGCTTTTCTCACACACAGATGTAATTGACTAACATGTTAACGCATCTGCTCCTCCCCTTTTTCTCTGTTGTGCTTTGAACTGGCTTTCATACTGGAAAGCATGTATGAAAGCATTTTGTCTACTTCAAAATACTTCTTCTTTATATCGGGCTCAAGTAAAGAATAACTCAACACTGGGCAACAGAAAAACTACTAAAATGACAAACAGCAGCTGAACTTCTTAAAAATACACAGCTCACTGCAAAAGTAATGCCACCTAATTTTTTTCCACGAAAGCTACAACAAAAAAAAACAGAATGACAGTATGCGATAGAGCAATTCTCAGCTACAAAGCACTATTTTTCAACACAGTCACCACCATTTGCCCAGATGAGCTAACCAAGACACATTTTCATTTTGTGGTGTGACAGCTGTGCATGCTGTCCACATCCATCCAGAATATGGTTTGCCTTTCATGTTGGTCTGCACAGTTGAAATGCACCACCCACCACCTCGCTGTACTAACATCCACTGTTTTGTCTCCAAAAACACCCAGCAAACATCAGTGGGTGCCAATTTTCAGCATGGAGGAATTCAGTTCCACATCTTTGCTTCATCTGCACTTCCATGTCAGGCACCATTTGTTAGACTGCCCCTCTGCTGTCATCTGTCACACAGTAACAATGTGGAAGGGAATATTGGTGGCAAGGTTCAACCCCTACTTGGCCATACAGCCAATGTAATAAAATAGGAGGCATAACTTTTGGAGCAACCCTCGTAGCATATGTTTGCCCTAAAGCATTCAGAATTCCGGTTGAAAGGAAGTTAGTATGGCTAGGATGCCAAATAGATGGAAAATGACTTAGAACAATCTGCTTGCATGTTAGTTGTCTTGCCTCTTCACTGAGGGTACATTGATCTTCCTTTGTCAAAACATCACAACACATAAAAATCTGAAAATAAAAGTGGCATAGGAAATGTTGTTCTGAATAGCTTCATATCAAATTAAAATAGATCAGCTTCCAGTTAAAATAGCTGCTTTGTTTTGCACATTCCTGTTGGTTAAACATTGGATGCCACTGCAGGTCTCGATAGAAACATAGCTTTCTGGTTTCTGTCAGGCAGAAAATTATGGAAGAGCTAGAAGCCAGACAAACCTGCTTTTCACTGCCAAAAAAACCCTAGGCATATAATATCTGTGTGCTGCAGAGACATCTCAGTTTTAACACACACGCACACACACACACGCAAAATCTTATTTTTATAATAAGCAATAAGCTAAAGGGCTCAGTGATTCTTGACCCTTCTAAAAAAAAGTCAAAGACCACTCATACGTACATAGGTTACACTGGAAGCATAAGATATTCAATTTCTTCAAAGCCAAATAAAAACAAAACTGCAGCTTTACTGAGATCAGCTGGAGAACTGCAAGATCCATGTTTTATGGTCCTATTCAAAGGCTTATCTCTCTCTACCATATCCAGAGTTAAATTACAAGTTAAATTGTCTCATCAATTTTGAAGCAGTCATGATAGTTACTGCTGCAGCTGAGCCAAAATACTGGCAAATGGATAACAAACCGATTTTATTTATATACACACAGACACACTTAATTTAGTATTCTTATTATATCTTCTACTTACATAAATTATCTCTGAATGGGGGAAAAAAAGGCAGAAAATTCCCATTGAACATTTGTGGCTTTCATCTGTCCTTATTGGAGACAAATGATAAGGCTTGGAAATTGCTAAGTCCACGCTAAAAAGATTTGGATTTTTTTTTTATTTTTTTTTATTTTTTTATTTGCCTCATCACTTGAAACAAGCTGTTGAACCATGACATCTGCAGCAGTGGCAAGACAGTCAAGAAAAACTGGGACACAGACACCAAATTGTAGTTAATGAGCGCTCCCAGCCACTGAATTTTTATAATTTTAGAATATTTAAATATTCTTTTTGCTCAGCTCTAAAAATGCAGAACTTTCCAGCAGAGCAAGGGAATACTTGTCTGCTCATTTTTCATTTCACCACCAAATTGTTTGTTATCCATGAAAGAAATCCTGAAAGGACAGAAAACAGAACTTGCAAGTGACTGATAGAGACATAACAGACACCCACCAAGAGGAAAATAAAACTAATACTGCAATTGTAATGAGTGGGATTGCATATACTCAAGTGTGAAGTAAACCCGTGAAATATTCATTCAGCTGCAGTGATGCTCATTAAGTTCAGAAAAATTAAAAGAAAGAAGGGTCAGCTGAACCTCTTTTCTCTCTTCAGTAATTAATTAATGTTTATAAATACCTAAAGGGAGGTGGGAGGCAAATGGATGAGGCCAGGCTCTTCTCAGTGGTGTGCAGCAACAGGACAAGGAGTAGTGGCCTAAAACTTGGAACATAGAAAGTTCCATAACAACAAGTGGAAGAACATCGTTATGGAAACAGTGACGGAGCAATTGAACAGGCTGCCCAGAGGGGTGGGGGAGTCTCCTTCTACAGAGATATTCAAGACCCATCTGGTCACCTGCTTACCTGTCTGACCTATCGTAGGGTACCTGCTCTAGCAGGGGGATTGGATTCAATTATCTCTTGAGGTCCCTTCCAACCCCTACAATTCTGTGATAGCAGATGACAAAATATATCTGTAAAACATCACTGCCTACCTGCAGCTTCAATTTAGACACTAGGGGGAAGTGGCCAACAAAAAAATACAAGAAGGATTTTCATATCGCTCCTTCTTCATGGCACTGAGATTCAGCCATACCAGATATTTACCCAATATCTGGACAAAAATTATTTATGCATTTATTAAAAACAAAACTAAACAAACAAAAAAACACCTAAGTAAACTTTAAAATTAAGCAAGAGGTGTTCAAACCATCACTCGACCAAATCTAAAGCTGTCCTAAGGAGTAGCGGAGAGTTAAACATCTCTCAAGTGATGTAAATGGACTTTACACATCATGGAACTCAAACACACCAGAAGAGCAGCAAACGGAGAAGAAAGAGATAAAACAGCTTTTCCTTGCACTATTTTAAAGACCGTTGGCAGTGTTTCCTGCTAAACAATTTTCCTTCTGTCTCTCAAGCT